TACAGCAAACCACTACAGGTGCAAGCCACCGTGCCCAGCTATATTGAGGGATTTCTTTCTTTTTTCTTTTGGGACAATCTTGCTGTCACCCAGACTAGAGTGCAGTGGTGTCATCACAGCTCACAGCAACCTCAAACTCCTGGGCTTAAGCGATCCTCCTGCCTCAGCCTCCCAAGTAGCTGGGACTACAGCTGCATGCCATCATGCCTGGCTAATTTTTTCTATTTTTAGTAGAGATGAGGTCTAGCTCTTGCTCAGGCTGGTCTTGAACACCTGAGCTCAAGCGATCCTCCCACCTTGGCCTCAAAGAGTGCTGGGATTACAGGTGTGAGCCACCGTGCCCAGCTGTATGAGGTTTTTAAACCACATGCCACCCAGACAAACGTCTTCCTTTGCTCAACGGCCACTTCCATTGCCCCATAAGAGCTAGAAAGAGGCATTCAGAGAAGGCAGCCTGGCCAGCAGCCCTGGCACAGCCAAGGAGCAGAAACCCTCGGCAGCGGGGTTTTATGCTTTCAGTGTCCCCTGCAGGCTTCCCTAGGGTAGAGAGGCAGGACACATCTTCAGAGTGGTTTCTTCTGTCCTCACTGGTGGCCTCCAGCAGGCTGGCTCTCTTGCGGACAGTCTATAAACTGACACAGACCCCGCCCCAGGGCTTTGTCTCTCCCTATGGCTCAGAAACCACCTGGATTGCCAGGCCTAAAAAAAGCACAAAGGAAATGCCACTGCCAGTCCCAGGTGGGAGAGCACAGCACCAGAGTACGCGGTGCAACACGAGGCCCAGCCAGGGCTCGGCACAGTGGGAGCCTGCAGCGAAGCCCGGCTCCCCAGGGCCTCCTGCCACTGTCAGCGGACGCCTCCTCGCAAGGACTTTGAAAAACAAAGTTAACTCCAAAGAGGATGTCAATTCAGTCCCTGGAACAAAATAATGACATTTATAATAAGCCATGAATCATCAACTGCTCACAGATGGCACAGGCGGGGGCTTCTCAGGCCATTTCTCTGCTGTTAACGGCAACGCTGCACAGTGGGTGCTGCGTGCCTGTCTCACGGGAGAGGCGGCCGCTCTCGCCCCGGGCCGTGAACCCCGGGCCCCCGCACGATCTGTGAGTGCTCAGCTCGGGCTCTGGAATCAGCTGTTGAACGTGTGCTCCTGACACATGTAGCTGCCGGGATGGTCACCACGACTTCATTCTGACCCCACGCACCAAGCCTGGAGGGAACTGTGGATCCAGCTTGGGCTGTAGCACGGCCTCCTCTATGTCCCAGTCCCACACGGGACGGGGTGGTGTGGGGCACAGCAAGACACCCCAGGGCCACACAAGCCTGGAAACGCCTTGGCCGGATCCCTCTGGCTGAAGGATCTTGCTTGTGTGCTGTTGTTCCACTCGGATGAGTGCAGGAGGGACGTGGCTTCCCCCAGCCCTGCATAATCCCACGGAGAGCACAGATAACCTTTCTCTGTATGATTTCTCATCGCCCTGCTGTGATTGCTGGTAGCAGAAGCCACTCTGGAAGCTTCATCAGAGTCTGATCTCCAGGGTCCTGGGCAGCCTTTTTTTTTTTTTTTTTGCGACAGAGTCTTGCTCTGTTGTCCCTGCTAGAGTGCCGTGGCACCATCATAGCTCACTGCAAACTCAAACTCCTGGGTTCAAGTGGTCCTCCTGCCTCAGCGTCTGGAGTAGCTGGGACTATAGGTACACGCCACAAGGCCCAGCTAATTTTTCTAATTTTAGCAGAGATGGGGGTCTCGCTGTTGCCCAGGCTGGTCTTGAACTCCTGACCTCAAGTGATCCTCCCGCCTCGGCTTCCCAGAGCGCTAGGATTACAGGTGTGAGCCACCAACCTGGCCCCTATTTTCTTAAAGTGAAAGGCAGGAAAAGGTAGGAAGAAGACTAGTATCTAGATCAGGCATCCTCAAACTACGGCCCACGGGCCACATGCGGGTGTTTTTGCCCGTGGATATGTGCAGTGTGCATAGGAATTTGTTCATAGTTTTCTTTAAACTATAGTCTGGCCCTCCAGTGGTCTGAGGGACAGTGAACTGGCCCCCTGTTTGAAAAGTTTGAAGATCCCTGCTCTATATGCTTAGTGCTAGGAACTGAGCTGGGTACACTTTATTTTGTTATTTCACTGAATTCTCTGCACTCCGCAAAGGAGACCTCAAGACTCCTGTTTCAAAGATAAGGAAACAGATGTATAGGGAGGGGGACTCTGTGTGGTCAGAGGCAGGACTTGGCGGGTGGGGCTTGCACACACGTGGTACAAATGCGTGTGTGAAGAACACCACAAGGATACATACCCAATCCAGGGTGTCGGCTGCCTCTGGGAAGTGGGTGATAGGATGGGACCGTGGAGGGTGCTTATCTGAAACGCGTTACTTCTTAAAACAAAGCTGGAAGCAAATATGAGAGATTGTCAACAACTGTGACCTCTGGCAGGCAAGGCCAGGGCGTCTGCTACGCCACCCTTGCGTTTCCTGTCCACTGTGGAGGCCTATGTGCTCCTCAAGCCAGATGCCCAACCCTGAGCCACCCAGGCATGTGGCCGGATAAAAAACAGAACACGGCCGTCGTGTGCTGAAGTACAAATTTAATAAAGCCTTTGATCACATCTTCATAAGTTATCTACAAAAACAAAAAAAACCGCAGCTTTTTAGAGCCATCAAGAGCCATCAAGGTGCCAATGAACACCAGCTACAAAAGTACAGATTCGGTGTTTAGATAGTGCAATGTTGCCAAGTGTTGAAGAACTTAAGTGAAATTATAAACTACATCTCCTTGTCAAAAAAACAAACAGGCAAAGTTGATACTGGTGCTTATGAACCACTCTCCTCCCACTCCCACTGGCTCCAGCCCTCAGGTAATACGAATCGAGATGGGATCCATCCTCTCTGTGCAGGCGGACAGTTTTGAGGCCCCCGAGTATCTGTACGAACTTGGTCGGCGCACACACGTTCAGCAGAAATCTTCAAAGAAATCTTTTGAGTGTTTGAAAAAAGTGGCAAGGCCACTGAGTCAGAGGTCACTAACGAATCTTAAATAATAATAATAAATTCCTGTCTTTAAATTCCTTGCCATCTTCCCATCAAAGCCAAGCACACATTCTGTTCTCCAGAAGCCCAGGGGCTCTAACCTGGGTGGGACCCCCAGGAGCCAGCCGGACCCCTCTGGTGCAGGCTGCGGAGCCGGGTCTTCCCTGCTTTGCGGCCAATGGGAGGGTTCTTGCTGGACCGGGTTCTGCTGCTACGCAGAGAGCTAAGCCGGCGGCACAGAGCAGAGGAGGGACCAGGCACTCCTGGCTTCTTCGGATCTGGCTGCGATCTTAGCGGTGGGGACACAGGAAGAGCATGGTGACGTGGGAGAGGCCGGGTGGCTGTCGGTGCAGACCACAGATGGGGCCTCTGCCGCCATCACCTAGATCTGGACTGCAGCTCTCACGGCAGAGCTGAAGAACAGGGCAGAGGAGCATGAGGGGTTGGAAGAAAAATGAAGTTAAAAAAAAAACAGGGCCAAGCGTGGTGGCTCACGCCTGTAATCCCAGCACTCTGGGAGGCCGAGGCGGGAGGATTGCTCGAGGTCAGGAGTTCGAAACCACCCTGAGCAAGAGCGAGACCCCGTCTCTACTATAAATAGAAAGAAATTAATTGGCCAACTAATATATAGAGAAAAAATTAGCTGGGCACGGTGGCGCATGCCTGTAGTCCCAGCTACTCGGGAGGCTGAGGCAGGAGGATTGCTTGAGCCCAGGAGTTTGAGGTTGCTGTGAGCTAGGCTGATGCCACGGCACTCACTCTAGCCTGGGCAACAAAGCGAGACTCTGTCTCAAAAAAAAAACCAAAAAAAAAAAAACCCAAAAGGCCAGGCGTGGTGGCTCACGCCTGTAATCCTAGCACTCTGGGAGGCCGAGGCAGGCGGATTGCTCAAGGTCAGGAGTTCGAAACCAGCCTGACCAGGAGCGAGACCCCATCTCTACTATAAATAGAAATTAATTGGCCAACTAATATATATAGAAAAAGTTAGCCAGGCATGGTGGTGCATGCCTGTAGTCCCAGCCACTCAGGAGGCTGAGGCAGAAGGATTGCTTGAGCCCAGGAGTTTGACGTTGCTGTGAGCTAGGCTGACGCCAGGGCACTCACTCTAGCCTGGGAAACAAAGTGAGACTCTGTCTCAAAAACAAAACAAAACAAAACAAAAAACCAACAACAAACAAGAAACCAGCCCAGAGGGTGTGAGTCTCCTCGGCCTCGTCAGCCCATCAGTGCAAAGGGCCGCAGGTGCCCCGTACCGAGGAGGATCTTGCTTATGTACTGTACAGGCAGCAAGACCCAAGATCCTTGGGATTCCACGATCTCTGGGGTAAAGCCACTGCCTGGACGGGATAGCTACCTCAGGTTGGTAGTGTTTGTGTCCTCATTAGATAAGAAGCAGGGCAAACCGGCAGGGACCAGAGGCCCCCTCTGGAACCAGCAGGCTTTGGGTGGCAGCCAGTGTGTCCCGGGAACCGGGCTGCCTTGAAGGGCCAATGGGCTTTTTCTCCCCAACCGGGATGCCAAGTGAACGCACAGGATGCTCTGCCTGCTGAGGACTCAGGAAGGGCCCCAGGGGCGCCGCAGTGTGGAACACGAGGCTTCAAGGCGGGCGGGAGCGGCACCCTGAACTTGCTGTGCTCCACGGCCCCCCAGCAGGCGGCTGGGCTTCCCCGGCAGCAGGCGGGCCCGGCAGTGTGGACGGCAGGGAGGCAGAGACTCTGCCGCGTGCATAGAGGCTTGGCAAGGCCTTACCTGAGTGAAGTTTCAGAAACGGAAGGAGAGGATCTCACGCATAGCAGGTTTCACGCGCTTAGACCCACAACATGGAAACCACCCGGACTCTTGGAGTTCCTGGGGCTTGTCCTCACGCAGTTCTCTCAGAGGGTTAAGGAAAGAAAGACTCTCGCAAAAAGACCAAACTAGCAACAAGCAGCCCCTCTGCAATCACCAGGAAAAAAGGACCAGCGCGGGCGGAATCTGGAGGTTTATTTTCCACATTCCCTTCCGTAAGCGTCACCTGGAGAATGCTATGTCGTGTTGTCTAAAGTTCTTGAGGCCACAGGGGGGTCTCATGGCTATAGAGAGGGTCTGGGGGTCGATGTCACCCGGCAAGGTGGTCACGTTCCCAGGGGCATGCCACCTCCAGGAGCTGAAGGTCCCTGGTGCCCAGGAGCCCTGGAGGGGTGGGCCGGGGCGGGGCTAGGAGAGCTCGAAGCCCGTGTTCATGCTGATGGCGTAGCGCAGCTTCTCCCGGAGCACGCTCTTCTTGCTGTAGTTGGGCAGCTTGAGCAGGTTGAAGCAGGTGGAGGAGGTGGGCAGACGGCCGCCCGGCTCCCGCTTGCGGATGGTGAAGAAGCCCCGGAGGACGCTGCCCAGGGTGTCCCCGGTGTCCTGCAAACACACGCCATGGTCTTGGGTTGGGAGGCACCTGGTTTGGGAGCCCGGGCAGGGCCCTGGCACCTGAGGTCAACCCCCAAACTCAGGACAACTGGCCTTAAGATGGTGAGTCCTGCACAGCTAGGACTTCTTCTTGAGGCCACACGGAAATCCTGTACTAAGTGTGTGCTTGGAAGTGGGGCCTTCTGGTTAATAGCTAATTATCGGTTAACCAACTGCCACAGAGCAGAATACTGAGAAACTATTTTAGGTGCCGAAACATTTCCGAATGCAGCCTAATATTTCCTCCCTGAACTCGCCAGTGCCGTGGCCCATGGCAGGCTACTACTTGGGTCAACTTCCCCTTCAGTGCAGAGGTTGAGATTGTCTAGTGTCCTGCGCGAGGAGGGATCAGCAGCTCGGACTGGGTGTCTGGAAAGGCAGCGATGCCCAGAGGCCACGGGGCTCACGGGGAGTAGGGCGTTTGGCTGAGCACCCACTGTGGTCAGGCTGTAACACATGGAGCTCCGTGACCCTAAGGTGCTCCTTCTGCCTTCACAGATGAGGAAGCGAAGCCACCTGCCCAGACGTACACAGCCCGCAGGTGGAGGGGCCGGCATTCAAGCTACATCTGTCCACTTCCTGAGCCCGTGTCCCCACCCCCTCCCATGCTGCCTCTTAGATCTGCAGCCCTGGTGAGACCGGCTGCTACTGAAAACGGCACGCCCCACCCCAACCCAGGCACGATCCCAAGGCAGTGGAGAGAAAGGGACCTCCAGGAGAGAGCTGAGGCCCAGAGCGGCCCGAGTCTGTGGCACCTCTGAGGGGCGGGCCAGCTCTCCTGCTGTAAGAGCTGTAGGACCCTCCTTCCCAGCTCCAAGGGACTCAGCAGACAGCCACCAGGAGGGAAGTCAAGGACCATTGCCCGAGGCCTGCTGTCCCCCACCCCGCTGCGGTACCTGATCATCCGACACTTCGACACAGCGGATGGAGAAGGGAGGCTTGAGGTAGGCGAATCCCAGGAGCGGGGGCCTGGAGCAGCTGGTCACAAACTGCAACACAAGGCCGGGTCAGAGGGGGACAGAGTGAGGCTCTCGCTCCTCCAGAAAGGGCTCCCTTGCAGCTGTGCAGAGTACTTTTGCTTCCTCTGTCACTGCATCACTCACTGCTGCTTGGCCAGCAGTGTGGGGTGACAGAGAGGTGCATCTGGCCCAAAGACTTAGACACGTCTCACATATCCTCAGGGGTGCAGCTCTCTGGGACTAAAACACATGGAAACCCAGAGACGTGGCTGGTCGTCTGTGAAAGACCGTGGGCCTGAAGAGTGTAGCAACAAGGCACACTCCCGACCGGGGCGTTGGTGTGACACACCCATAAGGCGGGTCTCCAAAAGGGCCGTCAGAGTCAGCAGGAACAGAGCAGTGACAGACACCCTTCCTTAGAGAGGGACAAGCAGTGAGAGCACAAGAGGGCGAGGCAGAAGCTGGTGGCGCCCGCTAACGTGGCACAGGAGAGGGGGAGCCCTGGCGTGGGCCGCGCACCAAGCGCATCACTCACGTTGCACTTGGCATCCTGTGGCTTCTTGGCCATGCAGATGTGACTGCGCAGGTACGCTCACCTGGCTGCCTCGCCCGCTGGTTTACACAGTGGTATGTGTGCAGGGCTCCTGGGGCCCCTTCTCCAAGAGACTAAGCTCTTAGCTCGCTGACAAAAACCAGGCCTCTGAAGCCAGCGAGGCTAAGGAGCAGACCAGACGGCCCACGTGGGGCCTGTGGGCGGCCGGCCACACTGCCCTGCTCTTCCCCTGGCATCCTTGTGCCCATGTTATCCCCCAAATGTGCTAGCTTGTGCCTGGACATAGGCATCCGACTAACCTGGAAATCCAAGTGACAAACTCGCCCAGGGATGTCCTAAGAAGCCATTCACTGTCATCAACAATAACCAAGAACATTCTCCCTTGTCTAGAGAATACAGGAGTCTGTTCCTTGCAGCACCAAGCTGCACTCCAAATTCAGTGTCAAGTTGAGAGTTTGGGTCTTACAATAAACAGTACCACTGAAACAACGGTATTGATGGTTGTGAGATTCCTGAAACCATCCAAAGACAGTTTATGTGTTCAGGCTTCAAAAAGTTTTTAAAAAAATATTGACAAGATATTGGTATTCTGATATTTTATTTATAAAAACCACAGCAGCAGCAGCAGCTCATACGTAGAAAGCATCGTTGTGCTTCCACGCCGTGCTGAGCGTTCCAGGTGCACAACCTCGTCCAGTCACGCCCCCGGGCTGTGTCGGGACTGTGGCTAGTTCTAAGGACGAGGAGGCACACACAGAAGTGTCTGCACAGCCCCATGCAGGCTGGCTGATGCCGCTGCAAACTGAGCTGGTCAAAGGAGAGAAGGGACTTTCACCCCCTTGGGACAGGAAGAGGGGCGGAGGGCACGGGAGCCCCCAGGTGCTCTACTCTCACTGCATGCGCGACAAGCCCTGTCACATCCCCTCCTGCGCAGGGGCTACCTTCCTGCACCTGGCTCTGGAGCTTGTCTCTAGCCACAGAAAAGGTCAGGCCCATGGCAAGGAACTGCGGGTTTGGTGACAGCTTGTCCAGAGACACAAACACACCTGCTGTGCAGGGCGGTGACTGCACGATTATGATACTGGGCACTGCTGGGAAACCTGGATGATTCTCCCAGAATCAACTTCTGGAATTATGTCTGCCTGTCCCCCCGAATCCCTGCACTCATGGGGATGACTGGGGCACTGTGTACCTGCTGGGCTGAGCGAGGACCTCCTCAGCTGAGTGACCAACCCAGGAGAGAGAAAACCCGCTGCCATTTTGCTTATGGTGACACTGGCCAGGTGGCCTCAATAGCAGAGGTCATGGCAAGACTTCAAGAAATCCCAAAGGCCAAAGGAAAATAATTTGAGGGATTAAACTTACTTCCAGAATATGGCAAAATGTTCCTGATATTCGGTCAAGTAGAAAATCAGATGGTGAAATGATGGGTCCACTTTTACCAAAATATACATATATATATATATATATATACACACACATATATATATATATACACACACATATATATATATATATATATACACACATACATATATATATATATAGCATGGACACAGGCAAGTGTCATCCAGAGTCCTGGGAAACACCGTTTGCTGATGTCAACAGTGAAAATCCCACTGTGAGCATGTACAGCTTTACAGACACCACAACAGCGACCTGGGTAAGAGCCACTCTATTTACCGACGTGTACGTAGGCTCCAGCCCAAGCAAGTGTGTGTATTTCACTGGGACGTTGTGTTTGTATGTTTTACACTATTGAGAAAAAGGGTGCACAAAAGTAGCCCCTAGTGAGCAGGAATGTTGACAGCTTAAAGTTCTTCTTGTTTAAAACTTTCCTTATCTGTATTTTCCCAAAGCAAGATAGTAAATATTATTTACTAATCTAATGAAAAGAATGAGAGAGAGACGCTAGCAAGGCGAGCATGGGCGAAGGGGAGGATGGACTGCTGTGGCCGCCAGGCAGGCATGCCGGGCAGGGCCTGTCCCTGCAGCCAGGGGCACGAGGCAGGTCGGCCTTGCCCTTTGGCCCTCACTGACTACGGCTGGCCTGCAGGGAGGCCTGCCTAGGGGAGAAGATGTGCTGATGACGTGAGGTCGTCTTGATAATTCCATTTTATCCAGTGTAAATTATTACACTAACCGGCCTCCTAGGCGTATGAGAATACACAAACGCATGCACGGAGGTCACAAACACACTACCTTCAGAAACATGGCTCTTTCCTCGGGCGTGAAGTCGGAGGCCAGAATATCCCAGAGCCAGATGATGACTCTGTGGCTTCCATGAAAACCGCCGTAGTACACCGTGTGCCTCCTGAAAACAAGCCGACAAGAGGCTCAGCACCACCCGACGGGCGCTTAGGGGGGCACAGGCAGGCATGGACATTTAGGTAAGTGACAGTCAACTCTTGACAGGCCTGGGCAACGCTCCTAACTTCTCTTAAAGCCACAAGTGCATGCCTTAACAACCCCATCTCCCTGGAAGCTGAATGGGCAGAGTGTTCGAGAGCTGGCCCTGCTGTTCCCAAAGAGAAGCCAGCACGAGACCTGTGACCCCCACCTCCTGGAACCTCGGAGAGGCCCAGTCCTCAGGACCTGCGTCCACTTCTCAGCTTCTAAGGAGACAAGTGATTGAGCTTTTCCTCCAAAGCAGTTGGCCAGTGCTCTGGGGGGAGGAGGACATCTGGAGGGCCCCTGAAACAACTGTCTGAACGGAACCCAGCAAGGGGGCAGCTGGCTTTCTAGGAGGCCTGAGAATTCCACCCTATCCCCCTCCCTCACCACCCGCCCCTTACTTTAAATCTTCCAGATCCATCTCAGCATTGTCGCCAGAGATGAGACGCTGTAGCTCAGGGGTTGAGAACATTCGGATCCACTCGGGTTTGATGATGGAACGGAATCCACTAATGAGGGCAGCTGTCTGGTTTTTGATTTGAGTGTGCATGCGGAAATGCGCCATCAGATGGATGTAGCTAATTCTGTTGCCAACAAGGAAGAGAAAACAATGGAAATTAACAGGTCGGCGCAGCCTGTTAGCAATGGGCTGAAAGATGAGTCTAGTCATTTCTGAACCATTTTATTAAAAACACAAATAGCACAAGAGCATGTTGCCAGAACAATGACAATGAGGACGAGGATGACAGCGCTCCTGTGTGCCACTGTGAATTTGTTAAGCCTTCAAGGCCATTACCTCATTCCCTCCTCCCAAAAAACCCATGGGTCATACACTGGAATAGCCCCCACCGTGTCAAGAATCAAAGTGAGACGTTCTCCAGGTCAGAAGAGGACCCTTCTTAGCCCAAAGGGTGCTTTTTAGACTTTCATTTAACCTCATCCTTTCTGGACATAAGCCAATCAAGATATAATTCAGTCTTCCAATAAGCTCTAAAGTAGAGAAAAGTTGCTTCATGTCAGAACTTTAATCAAAACCTTGCTAATCTAGACCAAGAGTCTAAAATCACGAAGGGGCGGCCCTGCCGCAGGATGCTTACACAGATGCGCCGGGTTGGTTATGCGTGGGTTCCACTGGGAGCTCGGAGCAACTGACAGCTCCAAGCAGAGTCTGCTTTTATGAACACGATGACCTCACCCACAACTGTTCAATATAACGCGATCCTTCTGAGCAGCTTAACTGCATTCCAATGAGGTTGTTAGCATTGTTGATTTCTTTTTTTTTCTTTCTCTTATTTTCTTTTTTTAATTATTTTTTTTCTTTTTTCTTTAAGATGTAAAGGTCATTGGAAAGCATCTCTGATTTCTTAGCAAATCATTTATTCGGAGATTAAAGAACAAGAACTTGAGCCCAGCCCAGGTACAACCCTCACAGATTACACGTTAGTACAGTACAAATAAATCCGTTTTACCCCACAATGCTCAGGTCCAAGTTAGTGACCTTAAACATATTCCTATTTTAAAAAATTATCCAGCAGCAAATCTGTACATGAATACAGTCAAATATTTTTCTATTGCTACTCCTTCCATGTGCTCTTTGAAGCAAGTTTTGTGTGTGTGTGTGTGTGTGGGGAAGGTGACAGAGGGAGGGAGCGAGAGTGTATAGGAAACGTCCAACACTCAGGAGGTGCAAGATCAAAGTCACTCCTAAGGGGCAGGACACTGGCACTGCGAGGCCCTTTAAGTTAGTCTGTCGAACTCAATACCCTGTCTTTACCCTGGGGTTTTACACTACAAAAGTGCAAGAGTTTGTCGAGTGAGTGTCCACAGAGGAGGTCTCAAGGCGCGAATCTCTAGCGCAGTCTGTACTGACCACCTTCTCCAGCCGCTACACACAGCGGCCAATAGGCATCGGGAGAGAATGGCTTCCTACCACCACTCCCAAGCCTCGACACCTGACAAAATGGGGCCTCTCTGGGGCTGGCAGGACTCATGACACAAGTCACGTATCCAATGATGGTGACTACCACTGCTGGCATTTATTAAGCCACTCCTTGGAGCCCAACATTCTGGAAGGTGTGTTACACACCTTACCTCATGTGCAGCCCTCCAAAGGAATGGTCACAGGTCACACGGCGGTCAGGACCGGGACTCACCCCTGCTCTCTGACCTGAACTGGGCCCTCTCTACTCCCCCAGGCAGCTCCTCCCAACCCGTGCTTGGTTCCTTCTAAGTTTTCAAACTAGCACCCGTGGCCAAGGGGGCAAGGCTGGCATAATTCAACCATGATGGAAACAGGGTCTGTTCTTCTATTTTGATAGTTTCAATAAAAAACTTCCCAAGCATGCAGACTGACCGCACCGCCTGATCTGAGAGGAACACGATGCTTAGGAACACTGGACTGTGACGTGCATCTGATCCAAGTGACTCGCCAGGTGGGACTGAGCCCTCACCTGTCGCTAAAGAGACTGATGTTCCGATTAGCAGTTCAGATGCCCAGCTGAGCCTGGTGGCAGAAAATTGACAGACTGACAGAAAGGCTAATGTCTACTCCTCATGCCAGGTTCTACTGTTTTAATTAGTTGACAATAGGGCTGGGAAGAGACAGTGCATTGAGGGGTTTTGCTTCTAGGGACCAAAAGGTTGACATTTCTGATAGATTCCTAAAAGCCCGTTATCCGTGACAAGGGCTGCCGGGCCTCAGAGTCTCTCCAATTCCCCATGTCTAAGTACCTCTGTCTGGGGCATTTGAATTCATCACTGTGTCGTCTCCAGAACAGTGTTTGATACAACTGCCACATGCTATCATTCCAAAATGATCTGCCTCTCCAAGGTGTCTTTCCACCTCCGTGCCCTCTGGGTTTGGTTCAGCGTGCCCGAATGGCTCGGAGCCCATCTGTCTGCATCTAGAGCCATCGTTAAATTCCTAAGAACACGGCGGCCTGGGTGCCTCTGACCTTAGAAGTGCTACTGCGAAAAATAAATTGTCAATTCTGATTTTGCAAATCGAATTTAATACAATTCTGGCCTATGAACTGTAACCAGTAAATTCCATTATGATATTTATGGCCTCTTTCGACTTCCATCTATCTTAATAAATTCTCAACATAAGCCTAGAGAGCCAGAATGAAGTCTTTTCAAGTGGTGACCTTAAAAATCTAATTGCTATACTCACTTATTTTCATTTGTAACAGGAATGGTCTTCCCTCCAGGAATCAGTTCATGGCAAACAAGCTGGGGGAGAAGGAGGGGAGTAATTACTAGAGATGATTCTAATGGGGAAATAAAGCTTCCCGAAGATGAAGGGGCCTGCCCCAAACGTTCGCAATGACGATGGGATTAAGATGGTATGTGTTTGGGAACATTCACTATTCACAGAGTCAAGGCTGAAATATCAACAAGCAGACCCTGTGATGAACATGAAAGGGTTTTGTCTTATCCGATCCGTGTTCTAACATTTGTATTAAGGCTTCAGGATGTCGTGGAAGGGGATGTGTGGCCATTTAGGAGCACAGCAGTACGGTTACATGAACGTTGGTATATCCACGCCCTGGAATACTGTGCAGCTAGTTAAAAATACGATGAAAATGTGTATTTGTTGAAAAAGTAAAAAAAAAAGCAGATTATATAACTACATGTGTGGGATGGTATCATTTCTGCAAAAAACAATTACATACATGCCGGGGGAAGAGTCTGGAAGGACATAGGCATCACACTGCCAGGGGTACTCTCTAGGCACTGGCATTGTGTGGCTTTCACTTTCATCTTTATGCTCATATTATAGCGGAAGTTTTTGTTAGAAGTTTTATTATTTTTATAGTAGGGAGAGAAAAGTCAGTATGTTAGGAGGGAGGCTCAAAATCTGATTAATGATTTGAAAAGTCTATAAAATCAACTGCGCTCCTCAACTTCAAGAACACTTCTGCAGGTCACCTAAAAGTCAAAGTTTATATCATGTTAAAGCTCATTTTAATAGAAATTCTATTAATATGTTATAACTCTATGGATGTAGAGAGGAAAAACAGTAACGCCCAGTCCCGCTGCTACAACACCCAGGGTGGCACCAGAGGACTGTAAAGCTGAAAGGGCACTGAGGGGGTCACCCAGCCTGATGTTTCCCATAGAGGGTTCCAGGGAACACCTTGTCTGTGAGCTATTATTTCGAGAACCATTCTGTGTGATGTTCCTTCTTTGAAAGAAGAATTCTGAATCAGAGGAGCTGGGGACACTTGAGGTCAACAAAACAGTATTCAGTGTCCTTCTCACAGCCCTTATGTGCCAGCCTGCTTGCTGGCCTTCCAGGGGGATAGGCCACGCAGGGCTGCCAGTGGTGTTTACGGACTGGTCCACCAGGGATTCACATCTGGCAAATGGGACTTTTTGGGGATAAGGAAAATGTGGCTCAGGGAGACTGAGTGACCTCTTAGAGGTGAGCCAGGCTGAGCCCAAGCCAGCTAAGAAGCTCCTGGTGTGGTTTGTCCCAAGCAGCCCTCGGACCACTCGCACACAAGAGCCTCGTGCAGGGGCCTCCACGGGAGGCATCTGGAAGGGTGGAGGCGAGTTAGGGAAAGGGCAAATGCCCTGGGCGGATGAGCAGCTGCCCCAATTCCAGGGCTGCGCTTCCCGCTCTGCGCTTCACAAGCAAGAACAAGGACAGGGTTCTGCTGGAGGCACTTCTTGGGTGGCTTCTTCTCCTCTCTAAATCATAATCCTCCGTTTGTAGCGGCTAATCCTCACCATGGTAACGGAGAGCAATGTTACGAATGGGGAATTATGCGATCGAATGTGATATGAGCAAAGCGGGGTCTCTGCGGGAGCTCTGAGGGGCGAGCAGGCAGCGGCTGGGCCAGCTTGGAAGGTGAGGGCGGTGCCCTCCCTCTGCACGGGGAGAGGAAGAGGGTGGGCCAGGGGATGTGGAAGGGGATGAGAGAGCAGACAGGCAGACAGACCCATCCTCCCCTCTTGGACCTGTCTCCCAGCAAAACATCAAGAGCAGGCCGCTCTCAGGAAGCCCACACTTGGCAGGAGGGGAAGGAGCCCTCAGCCAGCGAGGCCGGCTTACCTGGCCCATGACGTCCTCATCGTAAGACAGAGTCAGGCCCAAGTCGGCAATGTCCCCATCGTAGCGCTAATGCAACAGAGAAGGGGAAAACATCGGGGCTGAGGAAGACTACCTCCTTGAAGCATTTCACTCTCCCCAGCCCCTGCCCTGGAGGAGCTGCTTTGGCAGCGTTAGTAACCATGGCTGCCGTATGGCTTGAAACAAAGGAGAAGACCACTCGTCCCCTAGAGGAAGGAGGCTGTGCAGATCAGTCCCGAGACAGCCCACAAGAGGACGTGGGGGCCTGTGGCGGCTACAGGGAGAGCAGGAAGAAAATGGAAGGTGAGACCCGGGGACGTGAGTTCATGCCAGTGCTCGGCTTGACTCACCCACCATTCCGCACTCACCTTGATGGAAGTGAGGTTTTTGTAGAACTCCGAGTCCAGAGAAGGAAGTTCGTCCACAGAGCTGTAGAAGATGCTATGGTGGTGCCCAAGCAGCTGGCTCAGGAAGAAGGATGCGAAGGGCACGTCCACCACGATTCCCTGTAGAGGAACAGGGAATTCCTGCCATTCCTCGCTCTAGGATCCCCGACTCAGTGACTGGATCGGGGCGGCTCAGGCTACAGACATGGCCCCGAGATGCCGCCGGCCCCTCCTAAGCGTTCGATGTGGACAGCAAGTCTCCCCTCCTTTCCCACAGTCGAGTGCTTCCCAGGGACAGCACGGCGGAGTGGCTATAGGCACAGGCTTTGGAGCCACACTGCTCAGGGACCCAGTCCCATCTCGGCTGCTGCCAGGCCACAGGCCATCCATCAGCTTTCTCAACTGCCACCGGGGAACAGCACCAGCCGCTCAGTTATGAAGACCGAATGAGTGCAGTACTGACCCTCCTAGGCTCAGTGCAGCCGCAGGGGATGTGAAGACGTGTGCCAGGGCACGAGCGCAGGGGACAGGCCCTCACCTGGAGGCAGGGCGGGGAAGCTTCCAGGAGGAAGAGCTACCTAAGTGAGAGCTGAAGGAGCACCAGGTCCTGGTACGAGGCCTGCAGGCGTGTTCGGGGTGGAAGGTGGATGTGTCCGTCTGCGGCACAGAGTGTGAGGGAGGCCTGGGAGGAGGCAGGGCCCGTAGACCCCGCTGCAGTCTGGATTCTATCCCGAGGGCTCTAAGCAGGGAAATGGACTGGAGGGAGGAAGACAGGAGACAGGGACACAGCCAGGCAGCTGTGGCATAATGCCAGGGGACACATCGACAAACTATACAAGGGCAGTGGCCGAAAGGGACAGTCACTCAGACTTGACGGTGGCCGTACAATTGTTGCCGGAGGTAAAGGACAGGAAGGTGGCGGAAGTGAGGCCCAGGAAATGGGGAGGACGTTGAGAAAAGCCAGGAAGCCATGCCTTCCGGGGGCGCAGACACCCTGGGACTCCCCACAGCTAGGCGTTTAAAGGGAAAATATGGCACACCCCCAGGTAGGACCTAATGGGACTTTTAATTTTTTTAAATGGGAATCGACTGAGAAATCGTCTCCATTTTGCAGATGAGGAAGCAGAGGCACAGAGAATGAGCCCAGGGCCCCCAAGAGAACTCTGGTGGGCCCCCGATTTCATCACAGCCAGAGACTGAGGCCTGCCTGCAGAGGCTGTTTCCAGAGTAGTCTGCCCGAGAGACCTGCCTCTCTCAGCCTGCCCGGCACGCTGCTTCTCCAGGGCTCCGGGGCTGTGCGAGGAGTGCTGCCCAGGTGGCTCACGCCCCTGCCTGGGCTCGTAGCTCAGCAGAGCCTGGGCCCTGGGGAAGGTCCCTGCAGCTCTGCAGCCCACTGTGAAGGCCACCCAGGCTGGCCACTGATGGGCTTGTGGTGTAGCTTTGTGTCCTTCCTGGGAGGACTCTCAACGCCACTTCAGGTGACCCTATCTCAGCCCTCAATGGACAGGGGGCAGGAGCTGTGTGGGCCTCACCCAGAGCCCACGGAAGCCCACACTGGCCTGACCCCATGAGACCTCGGAGTGGACACTTAGACACCTTTCCTCTGAATAACAGAAAGGATGACAGCTCTGAGCTACCTCGGATGGCCAGGTGCCAGGCCTCATAGGCGGGGTTGATACGTATCACCTCGTTTATCATCACCGGCAAGGCGGCTTTTACTATCCCCACTTTACTGTTGAGAGAACAGGGGCTTAAAAAGTAAAGCGACTCAAATACACACGCCCACACAGCAGGCCAGGGAGGAGCTGGTCGTGACCAGCTGCCATGGGCTACGTCCCACCTTCTTTGGTCTGTAGGCCAACTCCGCAGTGCCTTGAGCTGGGAGGCAGTAGCTCAAATAACACAAGATTTTAAAATCATCAAACTCCACAAAATGCTGCTCTCCTACCATGGGGACCAGGATCGCCTCCACGTGGCGATCTAGCTCTGTACACTGCTCCTCACACCTCAGGGATAGAGACGGCTGGCCTAGGACTCAGGCCAGCCTGGGTTCAAATTCTACCCACTTAACTAGCAACAGGACTCTGCACGAGTGAGTGTTCAAAGCCTCAGTTCTTGAAATAAACAGAACAGCAGCAGTTACGGCACAGAACTGTCGAGAGGATTCAATGAGATGACACCTGCCGACTGCCTAGGACTTGTGTCCCACAGATCTTGGTGCTGGCCCCTCTTTCCTCAATCGTATTCTAATGACGGTTTGATGACACAGGTGGCCCGATCACATAAGTGTATATGCAGGAGCCCACGGTGGCCCTACTGCTTTATTTCGCATTGCTCCTTAACGTGCCTACCTCATACACAGCCTTCCCCAGCATCTTCCCCACGAACTCGAAGAGCTGCAGGTAATTCTCGTGGATGTAGGATGTGGGTGAGGGGTACAGCCTCTCATCCCCGCTGGTCGTCTGCGAGGCAAAAAGACGGGGAGAGGCGGAGATGAGTAAGCGCGGCTCTCACTTCTCATCTGTCACCTCGAATTTGGCTCCTGTCAACCCCGTTCTCTCTCCCCTGAAATACCGTGAAGAGATTGAGCGCCGGGTCGAACACCCGCTTGATGATCTCTTCCAAGAACTCCTTGAAAACGCCGTCCTGATCGATCCCGGCCTCGTCCACCCCGAGGTCGTTGACAAACTTCACACGGATCACGCCCTTCATGGCGTGCTGGGACAGCTGCCGGAGCTGCTCGTAGCCGTCCTGCCAGGAGCAGAATTACAGCCCATTAGAAACCAAGGCCTCCTGCATAATTCAGGGCTCCCTCCTCAAGGTTCCTCCTCCCCCGGGCGACACTTTCCCACCGTGACTGCTAAATGTGCAAGTCAGGACACGTGGGTACATGACAAGGACAGTTCTCATCTGCTTCCGAATGGGAGCCTATTAAAAGGAAAGATCTGTCTTGGGGATGTGACAGTCTCAGTCTTTGGCAAGAGGAGACTGACCTCAAGAGGATGCAGAGCAGTGAGCTGGGGAGTTGGACAAAATGAGTCATGACAAGCTCTCGGCCATCAGACAAAGGACGGAACAAGCTGGCGCAAGATGGCGTGCGTGCTCTCTCTATGCTAAGAGTATCTTTTAGCTCATGGTAAAAAAAAAAAAAAAAAAAATCAACCTTAGGGAACACTTATAAAATGAAAAAAAATAACCCCACATCTCAAGTTCTTGTGCCTTTCCCCAGATCACAAAGAACCTTCGACTTGCTGAGGAATTTAGGTTCTATCTCGGGGCAATGGGAGCCACAGAAGAGTTCAGACAGGGAGCAACACATCTGGCTTTCTGGCTAGGAAAGATCTTTCTATCGGCAGCAGAGCAGAAGGATGGCAAGAGCCAAGGCAGGAAGCAGAGAGACCAGGGTGCAGGAGTGAGGCCAGGCTCTGGCCCGTGGCCAGCTCTCTGTGGATGCAGCCATTCAGTTTATCTTACCCAGAACTCAACACCCACGGCCCCTGGAACACAACTTTAGAGTTCTCCTACTACATTATCTTGCTTAGTTTGTCTTCATTCTCATCTGTCGATGTGTTTCTGGCACCTAATGTATTCCTGGTATTTGGGATGCTGAGGTTTTTGTTTTGGAGCAGTGACTATAAAAAACAGTGCTAAAGAGGACACGGCCCAACGCGAGAGGCCCCATCGCCAGGTGAAACTGATGTCTTTATGTACTGTCACAGAATGAGTCACAATCAATCTTACTATCCCACCGTGGCCACGCCACATTTCTCCCTTTTGGCTACAACTGCAGCGCTGTCACTTGTTTTGCTGGTGTTAGGCGGACCATCTCCGTAGCATCCTCTCAATACCAGTCTGGTCACCTTGTCACAAAGCAAATGAGCAATGTGCCAGCAAGGCGAGACCCGTTCTGGGGATCCCTTGCTGCCTCCCTGCCATGCTCACTTAGTGGTCCAAGGGACTGTCCTATGGTGCCTGTGAATCTCATTCAGGGGTAGGCTCCAAAGCTGGTGAGCATGGGAAAAATGACCTCTGAAGTCCCCTAAGTCACCTGTAGGAACAGGAACATGGCTCTGTGTCCATAAACCTGGAAAGTACTTTTTATGCACATAAAGTCCGAGAACGAGTAAGTTAGATGGAAGAAAAAAAAGGGGGGAGAAACAGGAAGTCATCATGCAGCTGTCGCAGCATTTAAACCACTCTGTCTCAATTTAAGGCAATTCCTTTGGCACCAGAGGAGGACGAGTGGAGAATTCCAAGTGCTCCTTTTGCTGCGGGACTTCCCCATTCTGCTTCAGGCTTGTGCTGCCCACCATCGCACACGGCAGGACACGGCCTGTGGTCACGTGGGCCAGACAGCAGGCACAGCGGACGTGAAAGCACTCAGCGTGGCTTCAGCAACGTTTGCTGGACTCAGACCTCAGTCTTGCTCTATGAGCTCCACATCAGCCTCTTGCAAGAGTCGGAGGGGAATCTGCTGCCTGCCTCTCCCGATGCACTCCCTGCCCCCTGGGAACTCGTGTGGCTGTGCCAGGATTGTGGTCCAGCCCTCCCCTTCCCTACCACGCTTCAGTGCGCCAACACGGAGAACGGGAAGCTGGGACAGGCCCGCCTCTGTCGCTGACACCCAATCAGTGCTGACTAAGAACCAGACTTCTCTGGCCTCAGTTCTGGCTTTGACAGGGAAGGAGAAAGGGGTGGATGAGAGTACGTTTGAGGGTCCTTCCAGTTCTGAAATGCTACAGTTGCAGCCCAAATTAACTTAATTCTCTGGGAGGGAGAGCCTTCCTGCAGGACTTTAGACTCACACCTGGAAGCCTGGTACAGAAGCACAGCCTTCAATTCAAACCATAGGGAAGGAAACGGGATAAAAGCCCAGGATAGTACCCTTCTCATATCAGCCTGTGGATGCCCCCTTGTGTCCAAATCCAGCCAAGGCCAACTGGGCTCTCATGTTCTCACAACCAAACACCAGACCATGAGAACCACCAGGGTAACTGAATAAAGGACCTTTTCCCCTTTTCTAACAGAAAGTAAAGAAGAAAATGGACTTCCCTAAAACCTTAGACGGATATTGCTCCTTTGCTGTCCCCAAGGAAGTGTTTTGAAAAGTAGGCCTAGTATGAGCCAGGCGCAGTGGCTCATACCTGTAATCCCAGCCACTTTTGGAGGCAGAGACAGGAGGACTTGAGGCCAAGACTTCAAGATCAGCCTGGGCAACACAGCGAGATCCTATCACTAAAAAATTTTTTAAAAATTAGTTGGGGCCGGGCGTGGTGGCTCACGCCTGTAATCCTAGCACTCTGGGAGGCCAAGGTGGGCGGTGGATTGCTCAAGGTCAGGAGTTCGAAATCAGCCTGAGTGAGACCCCAATCTCTACTAAAAATAGAAAGAAATTAACTGACCAACTAAAAATTTATATACAAAAAATTAGCTGGGCATGGTGGTGCACGCCTGTAGTCCCAGCTACTCGGGAGGCTGAGGAAGGAGGATCGCTTAAGCCCAGGAGTTGGAGGTTGCTGTGAGCTAGGCTGACGCTACAGCACGCTAGCCTGGGTAACAGAGTGAGACTCTGTCTCAAAAAAAAAAAAAATTAGTTGGGTGTGGTGGCGCATGCCTGTAGTCCCAGCTATTTGGGAGGCTGAGGCAGAAGGATCACTTGAGCCCAGGAGTTCAAGGTTGTAGTGAGCTATGATCATGTCACTGCACTCCAGCCTGAACAGGGTGAGACTCTTATCTCTAAAAGAAAAAAAATGGATGTCAAGTGAATTTCTCACAAGTAATGACACTTGAGGAGGGCATCAGTGGATTTTGCTACTGTCAGGAGACACCACAGTCCATCCCCTGCCCCCCAGACTCTTCCGGTGGGTGGGAGCTGGCCACATCTGAGTGGTATGATCAGCTGTGGGACTGGAGATTTTGAGAGACAGGGGAGGTGCATCCAGGTCCAATGAGGAAAGGGCTGGAGAAGGGAGTTTCTAGAACACAATCGGGCTTTTCTGTTCTGAGTCAAAAGCAGAAATTGTAAACTGGTGGCCCGTAGGTTGAATTCAGTGGAAAGACGGGTGTCACCTGACCTTCTAGGCACTTTGCAAAATTTAAATAGTTCCCAACATGGAAGATCTGGGGATTTCACACAAAACTCTAAATTTTGGGCTTCTTTTAAAGTCTCACCGCATTATGGAGCCCATATCTCCACGTGGCAAGTCAGGAGGAGCTGGGAGAGGGGGCTCTTTGCTCACCCGCCTGCTTCACTGCTCTCCCGGGTGTCAGCTGTCATGTGTCAACTCACTCACGGGGCTGTTCTTAAGTAGAGGTACACAGACTGAGACGGTGACGTTTCAAGAAAATCGGGGGAGAGCAGTGGAGTGGACTGCTATGTTTAGCACTCGAATAAAATGCTCCTGCAGCAGGATGTACTCAGCCTGCTTGACTCACTCACGTGGCCTGCAGGGCCCTGTGGGCACATAAATTCCTCATGCCCACCTTGAAGACTGTCAGAAACATCAACTGGTCAACACACGCTGCATGTTCAGCAGTTCTTGGGATCGATCACCAGCGGCCAGGGGAAACTCAAAGGAGTTCCCTGGTAAGGCGTGACACAAACTCTGCGCTAATGCACCACGGGACAGGAGGAAGAGGAGTGGGGACGAAGGGCTGCGGCCGGTGGGTGTGGCTATGCTGCTACATGCTGTGTCATGGGATTCCACGGCTGTCAGACGCTGCAGAATATACCAGTGAGAAACTGTGGCTGGAATGTGACAAATGTGTAAAGACCAAACAGGGCAAACAGTCACGACAAGCCTCTCCTGGGTATGGGACCTGTGGGTCAGATACCAGCTCCACTGCTGGTAGGACCAGCACGCAGGGGCAGGCTGTGCACCGTACAACCCTGGGAGGCTGTGGCGTGGAAGGCACAGGTAGCCTAGGGAGGTACATTTATGACAACCATGTTCTAGCATGTCAGAATCGTGTTGGAACAGAATCAATACACTGTGACAATTTTCTGACACATGAGGACAGGGTACCTATCTCTAATTTATGTGACAATGTTATATAGCGGGAACTCCAGACAATAGGTTTGTCTAAGGTGGGCCACTTCACTTGTATCTCGTGTTTCCGTCTACAAAGAACTTCTGGCTCTAAGATAAATGTATTCCTATGTGTGGCGCAGTAAACATAATACCAGCTCCACCTGTACTAAATTCACTGGGACCAGTGGGGTTTGCACAGACATGAGGAAGTCAGTGAGGCCACCACAGCTGGCAGCTCCTGCCTTCGCAGGGGCCCTCCCGGGTTTGGAAGGAAGACTCCGAGGGTCTCCAGCACTGAGGACACAGTTAGCCAAGCAGCTATTCAGAGCAGTCAGCAGGACAAATGACCCCCTTCCTGCTCCCAGAGCCTTGATTTCAGAGTTATTAGATCACGGAGTGACAAGAACAGGTCAGAGAAGCTGGCAAGATGGCTGCGGCTGGAGCAGGCCGTCCGAGGCAGGCAGCTTCGGCCCTATTGCTGCGGAGCCCGCACCTGACAGCTCCGGCTCAGCTCTACCACAAGAAGGTGGTTGATTATTATGAAAATCCTAGAAATGTGGGATCCCTTGACAAGACATCTAAAAATGTTGGAACTGGACTGGTGGGGGCTCCAGCATGTGGTGATGTAATGAAATTACAGATCCAAGTGGACGAAAAGGGAAGATTGTGGATGCCAGGTTTAAAACATTCGGCTGCGGCTCCGCATCGCCTCCAGCTCATTAGCCACTGAGTGGGGGAAAGGGAAAACGGTGGAGGAAGCCCTGACCATCAAAAACACAGACATCGCCGAGGAACTCTGCCTGCCTCCCGTGAAACTGCACTGCTCCACGCTGGCTGAAGATGCAATCAAGGCCGCCCTGGCTGACTACAAACTGAAACAGGAACCCAAGAAAGGAGAGGCAGAGAAGAAATGAGCCCTCGCAAAGCCTTCACGTCATGTCAGCTGTTTGCCCACCTGCCGCGCAGTCACCTTAGACGTTCAGAAGCCCCTGCCACTACATAAAAGAGCTTTGAGATACGCACAAGGTTTGCTCTTCACATTGTGTCTCTAATGAGAGCAAAATACACAGTTTAATTGTTCTGAATCCTGCGATTTCTTTCAGCCCACATTTATCGCCTTAACCCAGTTTATGAATATTTTGAATTGTCTATGTGGCCGCAGGACTGAAATCAATAACAAAGTCTCAAGTTTTGATAGCCTGTGAAGTGCATAAATATCTTAATTTTACCTGAATCGATTTTGGGGAAATTACTAGTAGAATGCCTTGGTGTGATTCTTTGACAGAACCAGCTATTGTACATAAAACAGATGTGCTTATATATATTATAATAAATAAAAATATAAGACGATGAAAAAAAAAAAAAAAAAGAACAGGTCAGAGGCAACAGGTCATCACTGAACGGCCTACATTTTACAGAGCACACTTCTCTTTGTGGCCGAATTCCGCAGGCCGCACACTCACCTCCAGCATCCGGGACCGGCGGATAGTGATATGAGTGACATGAGGGGAGGCCGAGCTGGTTTCCACGAGACCCAGTTTCTCTTTCTCCTTGGTAACCATGTTTCGGAACAGGAGAACTCTCTGGAAAGAGCGAAGGTGGGACCAGAAACAGGCTCAACAACAAGATGATTCCATAAAAGCACTCCACAAAGTTACTGAGTTACTGAAATCTAAGTCATGTGAGATCCAACCGGAATGGGATGCCTTGCTATGTACGGTGGGAGGGACACACGAGTGCTGCCTCTGAGAACAGCAAACATTTCCCAAACACTGTAGGGAATGAGAAATATAGCCGAATACACGCCAAGGAAGAAATGTTCCAGAAAGAGTGGTCTGGCTGCAGCTACAGTCTAGCTAGAATATTCAGGAGAAAATCATTCTCCTCATTCAGTCAATAATCCACCGTAAAAACCTGGCGGCAGAACAGGCTACAGAGGCTGCTTTATATAGCTGTGCCTACTTAAAAGGAAATCAATATTATGCATCTAAAAAACAAAAATAGTTCAAAGATAATTTTTCCCACTGTCAGAAATTTTAAAAATGATCTCACAGTATAAAGATTCTGACCTTTTTATCTGTCTTCTCTATGCCTTCAAGCCCTTCAGTCACACCAGTGATATTTCTTAATTATTGCTTGAAAAGAACCTTTTCTTCTTATTCTTAAGATTCTGCTAAGTCCCTTTAGGAGGGCAAAACCCTTTTTGCCCCACCCTGGGTTTGAAAACCACCACCCTGATAGCATTCGAATAAAGTCGGCCAGGCCGGGCGCAGTGGCTCACGTCTGTAATCCTGGTACTCTGGGAGGCCGAGGCAGGAGGATTGTTTGAGCTCAGGAGTTCAAAACCAGCCTGAACAAGAGCAAGACCCCGTCTCTACTAAAAATAGAAAGAAATTAGCTGGACAACTAAAAACATATATAGAAAAATTAGCCGGGCATGGTGGCACATGCCTGTAGTCCCAGTTACTCGGGAGGCTGAGGCAGGAGGATCACTTGAGCCCAGGAGTTGGAGGTTACTGTGAGCTAGGCTGATGCCACGGCACTCTAGCCCAGGTAACAGAGTGAGACTGTCTCAGAAAAAAAAAAAGTCAGCCAAATGAATATATAAATCCAGCTGTTTTTTTAAAAAATGGGACTCTCCCCCAAAGTCAAGAGCTTTATTAAATACAAATAAGAACAGTAATAATAACAATAGTAACAGGGTTAACTATACATGGGGCCGGCCTAGTGCATTTTCATTTAATCGTAGCAGAAGCAGCCACTGCCAACGGCCTCCTGAGGAGGGGATGCAGCCAGTGGAGGAACCGTGGCTTGGTGCGGCGTCTCAAGGTGGCTGGCTTACGAGCCCGGAAACAAGGACAGTACAAACGCTCAGGGGGTCCCAGGGCCACACTCGAGGGAGACAGTGGACTAAAGGCCCAGCAATGGAAGCTCCTGCCGCTCCCTTTTGCCGCAGGCAAGACCTTCGGTAACAGGTACTTAAGCCTCGTGGGGCCCTGTGGTACGCAACACGACCGCTTCCTGTGACCCCAAATCTTTAGCATGATCGTCTGAACAAGGGGTGCTGTTCTGCAGCACATGAGGTGGAAGAGGAGATTCACATCAGGGTCAATCCAGTGTGGAGTGGGGACAGCAGAAGACACAGAAGCGGAACTGCAGAGACAGGGGTGACCACGGGGCGCCTGGACGGGGCTCTGGGTCTCCAGGGTGTGTGGAAGAGGGTTCGGGGCAACCTTAGCCAGCTTCCAAGGACTGGGAGACCTCAGCGAACGTAGTGGACATCTGGATGAGGATCACCGTCCCCGTCTTGAAACAGAGGAAATGGACTTGCCCAAGTCACAGAGCTAGTGGCCCCAGAGGGGCCGGAGTCAAATCCAGATCCCACACAGGGACCACAACACTACACAGCCCTTGCTCACCCCAGTCAGGGGATGAGTCGCAAATCAATGGGTAAAAGCAATGTAAGAGAACAGAGAATGAGCCAGGCCAGGCTGAGGCTTTTAAAGAAAGGCGTTCTAAGCCCCCACTGGAGTGAGACCAAGATCAACGGAGAGATGCAGATGGTGGATGGCATAATGTATCAATGAGAGAGAGATCCTATTACTCTACTGTGCGCACCAACAAGAACATTTCAGTGGCAGAAAGCAGCACACACGCCATTAAGGGACATGACGCCTGAGATGGGAGGAGACAACAGGACAGCCCTGAACACTATGAACATGCCAAGCTTCCAACATTCCCCCAGGACCTGCCGGCACAATCACAGGGAGCAGGACAGTGGCCAGGGGATGAGGAAGGCCCTATTTCCATAAAATGCCAGGGGAGGTATTTTATGAGCCCAGGACAAATAGCCCAGATGGAAATCTTAAACAAAATTCCCCAAAGAAAAACATGGTGAGGATGAACATACAGCCTGGAAGTCATTCCAGTCTATCTCACTGGTTCCCAAAGTTTCTTATTTGTGGCACCCCTAGTGTCTCAGTAACTTTGTTCATGGCACTCGTAGGCCGAAAGAAATCCTTAAGAGTTCTGTTTACTAAGTAGTTAGGTCTTAACAACTTAGAGTATTTATGTCCTAAGAACTTAATAGCTATGTTTTACAAATGCATATACACTGAAATATAAAATACTTTTCATTCTTAAAACTTAGCTTTGCAAATAGAACATCACTGAAAAGAATATAGTGCAATCAAACATTGAGACCATGAACTATCTTTAACTAACTAGTAGTTCGCACAGTGTTTTCACTATGCTCCTCTCAAAAATTTAAAATATCCTGAGGCAACCTCAGGCGCCACAGCATGCTGTTTGTGAAGTGCAGATGTACAGAGTCAATTCCCGACTGTGTGTTATCGGGGTGCTATGGTCAAAGGCGGGATTCACAGACACACAGGTCCAAAACAAGGTGCCATGTTTTAAATCAGACGCTACCGAACTGCATGAGGCCCAGGAGGGGAGGGGCTGGACACGACTTTGAACGAGGACTTGCTGGAGGCCCTATGAATGCTACACTTGGCAAACAGGAGACTCAGAAGGCCAAGAGGCGCTGACTGCAGGTCTCAGAAGATTTATCTCACACATTAGAGAGACCACTTTTAAGGGCTGTTCAAGGACCAAAGGGTAGAAGTTAAATAAAAGCAGAGCAGCTTAAGATGAGGAAGAATGTTCTATCACTTGGAAGAGGAAAGCCATAGGACGGCTTGGTCTGCAAAGCAGTTTCCATACGAAGCAAGGTCGGGGCACTGTGGTAGGGGCTCTCTCCAGGAGGGCACATTTGCTCAAGTCGTCTCCCTTCACTGCCGAGAGTCTGCCAGGTGCAATAGGGTTTAAACAGCCACATCACTGCTGCAAGGGAAAGAATGGCTATGGTAAGTATTAAAGTCAAGGTCAAGGCCAGGTGCGGTGGCTCATGCCTGTAATCCTAGCACTCTGGGAGGCCCAGGCGGGAGGATCGCTCAAGGTCAGAAGTTCGAGATCAGCCTGAGCAAGAGCGAGACCCCATCTCTACTAAAAATAGAAAGAAATTAATTGGCCAACTAAAAATATATAGAAAAAATTAGCCGGGCATGGTGGCGCATGCCTGTAGTCCCAGCTACTTGGGAGACTGAGGCAGCAGGATTGCTTGAGCCCAGGAGTTTGAGGTTGCTGTGAGCTAGGCTGACACCACGGCACTCTAGCCCAGGCAACAGAGTGACACTGTCTCAAGAAAAACAAACAAACGAACAAACAACATCAGAGAGCAGTGAGGGGATTAAGTATCTCTGAAAAGTGAGATGAGATTTACAAAAATGTGATTTATGCACTTTCCTAAAAATGTCTATCTTGTAATAAACAAAACAAACAAAAAACCCTAAAAAACAAAAACCAAGAAAGAAAAGAAAATAGAACAGGAAGAAAAGGAAAGGGCACAACCTAGCTAGGGGTCCTCAAACTACAGCCCACGGACCACATACGGCCCACCAAGGACATTTCTCCGGCCTGCCAAATGTTTTTGCTGCCGCTGCCTGTCCTGCTTGGCAGCTGACTGGTCCGAGGCCCACAGTGCGCATGTGTGGAATGTGCGCCGCACTCTCCAACAGCCCTCCAATCATCTGAGGGACAATGAACTGGCCCCGTTTAAAAAGTTTGAGGACCCCTGACCTAGACTCTCAGGAACCTCTTCTGAGAGGACCACAGTATTGTCATGGCATCCGACGGACATTTCTGGAGCCTGCTACCCACCGGGGTTGTGAATGAAGCACTCCCACATTTCCTGGTTGCTCCTGTCATAGCACCTGACCCTTCCCAAGTCACTCACGTCCCCTGGGGATGTGATGCCATGCTCTCCTGGTCTCCCTCCTTCCCTCCTCGTATAGGCCCTTTGAGCGATGGGTCCTGCAGGGCTGCTGCACTTCTCCCTGCCTCACCCACACCCTCGAGACGTGGGTGCTATCCCCACGTAGCATCTATCCTCTTCTCCTGAGCTCCAGGCCTTTAGGTTCTACCTCCTTAAAAATGCCGACTGGGTCATCTTTCTACTCCCGCGACCCCACCAGTCGAGGCCGGCCTTCTTTAACACCCTCTGCCTCCAGCCAGTCTCCACACTGCAGCCAGAGGCTCTTCCTCAAGTCCGGCTCTGGCCAGGTGCCTCCGAAGCTTGAAACCCAATCCGATAGTGGCTTTGGATAAAGTCCAAGCTCCAAATCTTGGTTTCTAAGGCCCTTCTGGCTCCATCTACAAACCTCCTCGCTTCTCGACGCCATCCTTACACTCTCCCTCGCTGTAGTCTGGCTCTGCAATAGCACTTGTTCTCTCTCACTTGGGCCTTTCAGCCTGTCCGCCTGTGCCTGCGGAGCACTCTCCTCACCCCCACTCCCCTCGCTCCAGCTGGGCCAGGTCCCCGTGCCTGGGCCTCCACAGCATCCGTCCCACGCCACCAGAACCGCCAGCTCACATCGTCTTCCCTAGACCTGTAGCCCCAGTGCTGAGCCTAACACCTGCCACAGGGTAAGAGCGAACTCTGTTTCCGTCTGCTGAATGAAGGATCTCATGTTGTCCTTTCCAGTTGCTATAGTGAAGATGGGAAGTCAGGAACCACGTGCTGGAACAGAAATGCCCACCGGGAACCCGAATGCAACTCACATTTTTGTGCGGAATGACATGAGGGATATACTGCAGGATCAACTGCGCCCGTTTCCGGTCCTTGTCCAGTTCCTGGAAGAGCACGCTGGGTTTGAGATCCCTTCAGAAGAAAGACATGGGTTTGGGATAATTCAAACAAGAAAACCACGTTCTAGTGCAGGGTTGGCAAACTATAGCATGTGGGCCAAATCCAACCTGCTGCTGCCTGTTTTTGTAAAGTTGGATTGGAACACAACCATACGCATCCATATTCATATACGTATCTGTGTCTCATGGCTGCTTTTGTGCTAGAGGCAGAGCCGAGTAGCTGCAACAGACCCTGCCTGCTCCGCAAAGCCGAAAACCATCTGGCCCTTTAACAGGGAAAGTGTGCCAGTCCCTGCTCTAACGCCACAGCTCCAACAGCTGCGTGGGAGTTGACTTATTGTTGATAACATGCTGACGTGCTCCTCTGTTTAGCTGTAGTAGGAGGATTTCCCCACCCTAGTCTCCAAAAAACCTAAAAGCAGGTTTTTGGGTTTTTTTCTGAGATAGAGTCTCACTCTGTTGCCCAGGCTAGAGTGCCGTGGCGTCAGTCTAGCTCACAGCAACCTCAAACTCCTGGGCTCAAGCGATCCCCCTGCCTCAGCTTCGTGAGTGGCTAGAACCTACAGGCGTGCGCCACCATGCCCAGCTAATTTTTATATATATATTTAGTTTGCCAATTCATTTCTTTCTATTTATAGTAGAGGCGGGGTCTTGCTCTTGCTCAGGATGGTTTTGAATGCCTGACCTTGAGCAATCTGCCCACCTCTGCCTCCCAGAGTGCTAGGATTACAGGCGTGAGCCACCACGCACAGCCTAAAAGCAGTTTTTTACCCTGGTAATTCTGCCGATAAAAACTGCCATTTAACTATCATACTTTGTTGCTCAGCTCAGCTGAAAGACCTACTCTTCCCAGCCTGGATAAGAAACGTCTGCTAAATATAAGCTGGCTTGTGTCGCCATTAATTAGCTCTAATCGTATTTTGTGTAAATATCTCTCAACATAAGCGAATGCCAGGTTGCAGCAGAAGTGTCCTGACGGTGCTTTGCAGGAACAGCGGCTCTCTCTTTTTTTTTTCCTGAGACAGAATCTCACTCTGTTGCCTGGGCTAGAGTGCTGTGGCGTCAGCCTAGCTCACAGCAACCTCCAACTCCCGGGCTCAAGCGATCCTCCTGCCTCAGCCTCCCGAGTAGCTGGGACTACAGGCATGAGTCACCATCCCTGGCTAATTTTTTCTATATATGTTTTAGTTGGCCAATTAATTTCTTTCTATTTTTAGTAGAGACGGGTCTCGTTTTTACTCAGGCTGGTTTCAAACTCCTGAACTTGAGCAATCCTCCCGCCTCAGCCTCCCAGAGTGCTAAGATTACAGGCGTGAGCCACCGCACCCGGCAACGTGGCTTTCTTTACACATCAACAGATGAGATGAAGGAGAGGGAAAAAGTCCCCTCCGCCCTAGAACACGAGCACTGGGCACGCGGGCAACTCTGCCATGGGCGGCGTGACAGGCCAGACTCGGGCTTCAGGAGCCGGTCCCCACTCCTGGCGCTCACTTTCGCAGCCAGTGGTCCTCGGGGGCGAAGCGTCGCCGGCAGTCCCGCTCGTAGAGCACCATCAGCCACCCGTGCACAGACTGGAAGAGCTCCAAGGTCTCGCCCTTGGCAGTCTCTGTGGGGCAAACAAACAGGGGAGTCACACTCGGGGCAGCGTCAGAAGCAGAGAGGAGTGGGAGGACAGTCGTCATCAAGTCCTTGATCTCCCTCACTCTGAATTTCCTGTGGAACCAGAGGAATTAAGAGGCACCCTGGTTATGTGCCAAGTGTCTGCGGGGCCGAGAATCTCTCAGACGCCATCGCCCATGGCACCTCCCACTAGTGTGGCACGTAAAGGCCCTGCTCAATCTGAGGAGCTTTGTACTGAGCAACTGGAAACGCCTCAGAAGGGACCCTCATTTGGAGTGTGAACGGGCACATGTTTTATCTTCATGGAAATCAACTTGAAGAATCAAAAGGAGATGCAGAGCAAAATTAATCATCACTAATATTCCCTGACACATACATGCCAGTCCTGAAGGACACCCGGCAGAGTGAGACTTTATCACCACTCTACTGTCTTAAGACGTCAGGGAGTGAAGAAATCAGACTTCCGATGATGTGAATGAATGTGGGTCTTCCATTAACTTTAACAGACAATAAAGCAAAGAATCACTGGATGGGACGAACTCCCTGGCCTCCCTGGGTGCAGCGTCAATCAAATGAAGGCAGACACCTTTACCTTACCTACGATTCCATCCCAGATCATCTTAAACACGAAGGAGTTCAGAAAAGAGGAGATGGTGACCAGCTCTTCCAGTTTGAATGAAATTTGTTCTTCGTAAACCTCAATGTCATCAAGGATCCTAAATCAGACAGAAAACTATTCAGAACATCCCACTGAGAAAAAAACAAGATCTGTCCTGCTTAATAGACAATATAAACAAGACTAAGAAATAGGCTTTTTTAGAGATACTTCACGTAAAACATACAAATAAAACGATACGATGTCTAAGATTTGCTTCGAAATAAACTAGGCGAGGACAGCAGGTGGGGGTTTAGATGAAGCAAAACTGGCTGTGAGTTGGTTTGTTAAAGCTGATGATGGCATATGAGAGTCTGTTATATTAATATCATTCTTTGTACTTTGTATGAATTTGAAATGGTCCATAGTAAAAAAGTTAAAAAATAGAATTAAGAAAAAAAGCAGCTCTACTCTATATTTTTCTTTATTTTATTTTGAGACAGAGTCTCACTCTGTTGCCTGGGCTAGATTGCCGTGGTGTCAGCCTAGCTCACAGCAACCTCAAACTCCTGGGCTCAAGTGATCCTCCTGCCTCAGTCTCCCAAGTAGCGGGGACTACAGGCATGTGCCACCATGCCTGGCTAATTTTTTCTATATATTTTTAGTTGGCCAATTAATTTCTATTTTTAGTAGAGACAGGGTCTCACTCTTGCTCAGGCTGGTTTCGAACTCCTGACCTTGAGTGATCCTCCCGCCTCGGCCTCCCAGAGTGCTAGGATTACAGGCGTGAGCCACCACACCTGGCCTATTTTTCTTATTCATAAGTCTCTAACTGTGACACTTTCCCCATTCATGCCTAAATATCAAGGAATCTTGACCAAGAGTGTGTTTATTGAAATAAACTATGGAATCTTATTCCACATCTAGGACAGACACTAGTGACACTTGGCAGGAACTTGATAAGTATTTGTGCGTGAACAAACGAATGTTTGAAAGGGCATGTGAATAAATGAACCATTTAAGATACAACTATAACTGAAAAGTTCCTAAAACCGCTCCACGCACTAGAACACGCCTTACTCCTGGCCTCCCCGTCACCCAGCCGTCACCAGCAGCTCCGGACTCCTGCTCCCACCCCAACTAATCAGTGAGCCCCTTTCTCTGTGATTCTCACCCCATCTGCCACCCACAAGTCCCTGATCCCCTCCTGCTAATAATGTCTTCTAGCCTCAACATAATTGCCTGAGGTCCATTCTATAATTAAGTTTTCAACAACCTTTTGGGAAAAAGTGAAATTAAAGGAATTCTGAATACACAAGTAGACACGTAAGCTTAAAAAACAAAGGAAGTGAATGGGACTAACGTTTGGATAATTTCCCACTCTGTGCCAGGCACTGTACTAAGTACTTGACATTCCTTTTCTGTTTTACTCTCTATCAGATTGGTAATATTATCTCCATTCTAACGGGGAAACTGAGACCGGAGAGGTTAAGCAATGTGCTCAGGGTCAGCTTGATAGTAACAGCAGCCAGCAAGTACTGAGCTCTTCCTATGTTCCAGGGACTGTACTAAGCACTCTGCATCATCACTTTTAATCACTGAAAGGTAGGTGCTGTTGTTACTCCCAGTTCTAGAAGAGGAAACTGAGTCTCAGAGGGGCTGAATCCCTTGATCCCTTGCCCACGTGTCTCAGGAACTGGCTCAGCAAGGGTTTGCAGCCTGGCTGTCTGACTCTGGAAATTCCCAGGAATCGACCTAGCACTGCAAGGAAATGGCTGAGCTGTGATTTCAACCCCCTCCAGGAGACCCCAAAGCCCACACTCCACGGTGCTGATGCAGCTCCCCTGAAAAGACAGGCACTAACAACTGCTGAACACCTGTGCTGTGCCACCCACCCTGTAAGAGTTTCCTTGTCTGATTCTTACAATGCCCTTCCACACAGGTCCAAATGTATGCAGTAATCACATCAGCAATTCCTTCCTTCCTGACACTGTAATTTGGTCTCTCTGAATCCTAGGAAAGGGATTCAGCCCCACGGCAGTCCACCTACGTGATGAGGTGCCGGGAACAGTCACAGAACAGCATCAGCATGGCCAAGAGCTGCTTGGACTCCTCGGTGTCGTTGTTCAGGCATTCCAGGAAGAGCCTCAAGCCTCCGTGGGGCCCCAGCTCACAGATAAACGCCCACAGTTTGGGCAGCAGGTCATCAAGGTAAGTGAGACCTTGAGAAGGATAGAAAAACACAAGCTTCAGGTGGGGGCTCCATTGTTATCCAGTGGGAAAACAAAACACTTAAGGCTGTAAGTGAACATTTAACATGTGCTCGAGAAGAAGGTGGGATCAGCCAGAAAAGCATGATCACCAAGAGAACAGCAAAGATAGTAACAGCTACCACTTAACGGGTGCTTCCTCTGTGCCCAAGACTCCTCTGAGTACTCTGCATGTGTTGTCTCCTTGCCACCTTGGGAAGCCCAGTGTCATCTCCGTTTTATAAGGGAGGAAACTAAAGCACAGAAGTTAAATAAATGGCCCCACATCACACAGCCTGTAAGTGTCAAAGTCAGGAAAAGAACTCAGGACTGTCTGACTTAATATTTATGTTTTCAATCAGCGATATGTACATTTTTTCTGGATAGAGCTAAAGAGTAAATATTTTTCTGCACTATGGGCCAGAGGTCTCTGCTATTAAAAAAAATTAAATTTAGCAGAGTTTAATTGAGCAAAAAACAATTCGCCAGTCCAGCAGCCCTCAGAGCCAGAGGAGGTCCGGAGAGCTCCGGTTAGCATCCTGGCCAGGCAGCACTCCCGAAGCGAGGTGCAGAGACGGCTGGACGGGCTACAGCTTAGCATTGCCTCATTTGAACATGGTGTGATCAGAAAGCAGCCTGTGCTGCTGTAATTGGTAGAGACTCAGCTGTTTGTTACAAAAATACTGAACACTCCTAAATCAGGCTTTCAGTTAGTTTATTTTTTTATTTTTATTTTCTTTTTGAGACAGTCTTGCTTTGTTGTCCAGGCCAGAGTGAGTGCCGTGGCATCAGCCTAGCTCACAGCAACCTCAAACGTCTGAACTCAAGCAATCCTACTGCCTCAGCCTCCCGAGTAGCTGGGACTACAGGCATGCGCCACCATGCCCGGCTAATTTTTTTTCTGTATATATTAGTTGGCCAATTAATTTCTTTATATTTATAGTAGAGACGGGGTCTTACTCAGGCTAGTTTCGAACTCCTGACCTTGAGCAATCTGCCCGCCTCGGCCTCCCAGAGTGCTAGGATTACAGGCGTGAGCCACCGTGCCCGGCCACTTTCAGTTAGTTTATATACTAAGTTAATTTGCAGTTCCTAACATAAGGACTCAAAGTACAAAGGCATTCTCGGGCCACATTTAACTGAACATTGTCACAACTACACAATGCTACCACTGGGACACGAAAACAGCCACAGAAAGTACATAAAAGAACATGTTTGGCTGTGTGGCAATAGAAGTTTCTTACAAAAACAGGAGCGGGCTGGATGTGGCCCACAGGCAGTAGTTTGCTGACCCTGTCTTAAACCATCTTGCAGGCTTGCCACATTTAGCCAAGCTCCCGCTCATCTATTATTCTACTTATTTTCAACATGGAAATGCAGTGAGTGACCGTAGCACAGATGCTCTGAAATACCACACAAAAATGGAACCTTGGGGAAGCAAAGGTGACACAGAGGACATGCAAAGTCTGCTTCCTGGTGGCCACAGGGACTCAGACATATAGGCTATATCCTTCGGCTGGTGCTCCCAGAGTGTCCTCAGAGGCCGCTGGACACCTCCGCCTGCATGCCCCATAGGCACCTTACACTGTCACAGCCACGGCACAACAGAGTCCCCACGGGCCCTGCCCCCAGCTGATGCTCCCTAGCTAAGAACACAGTGCCGCCATCCACAGAGGTGGTTTGGCCGAAAATCTGGTATCTTTGAAACCTTTGGTCCTCACACCCCCAAACCCAATCTGCCAGTGAGATCCTTCCTCTAAAGCACCCCAAAGTCCTCCCACTTGCACTGCCATCACTACTGCTCCAGGCCAGTGACTCGCAACTGGGAAGGATTTTGCTGCCCAGCGGGCGTCTGGCCACACTTGGCTGTTGCAACTGGGTGAGAAGATGCATCTGTGAGGAGGGGCCAGGGGCTGCTAAACATCCTGCAGTGCACGAGACAGCCCCCGGCAACAAAGAATTATCTGAGAATCCCTGCTCTAGTCCAAGCCGATCACGCTCACATTCACAGAGTGAATCTCCTTTTTGCTTGCTTATTGCTGGTCTCCCTAACCTAGAATTAATCACCTTGAGAACACAGACCTCGGCTGTCTTGTTCAACTCTCTTCAGTACCTGGCACATACAGGTACTCTGAATATTTGAAGAATGGATATGTAAGTGTGAAAGTGAGAAGAAGTGTGATTTATGCTTTTTTTTTTTTTAGACAGAGTCTCACTCTGTCACTGTGGTTAGAGTGCTGTGGTGTCAGCCTAGCTCATAGCAACCTCCAACTCCTGGGCTCAAGCAATACTCCTGTCTCAGCCTCCTGAGTAGCTGGGATGACAGGTGTGCACCACCAAATCCAGCTAATTTTTTCTATTCTTAGTAGAGACAGGGTATTGCTCTTGCTCAGGCTGGTCTCGAACTCCTGACCTCAAGTGATCTTCCTACTTCAGCCTCCCAGAGTGCTAGGATTACAGGTGTAAGCCACCATGCCCAGCCTTTTCTAGTTTTCTGTTCAGGAAAAATAACTTTTTAAAAGTACATTGTATCTCACACTTTCATTTTTCTCAAAAAAAAAAAAAAAAAAAAGTACATTGTACTTCATAATTGATTAAGAGCAACAAAATGGAAGTGCTATGACTGAGGTTTAACTTGAACTATTTAACCAAGGTGTACCAATCTCTAAGAAGAACAGCTCAAAAACACCCTGCCTCAAAAATCTGTTTTCTGAGTCAAAGAAATCAGAAAAAAGCAAATAACTTCTTTTAAGACCAACTGCCCAATTTGAGAGACAGAAGACGCCGCCCCGTGGCTGCGAACCTGTGAGTATCTGCAGCCGGATCTGGGTCAGCGTTGTCAGTGAGGTCTGGTAGAGGACACAGATGTTGCAGACCTTCTGGACTTCTGCAGAGTCAACGCGTTTACCCCCGACAGGCCTGAGAATATTCCGGACTGATGTAGACTTTTGAAACGCACGTTTTAGGAGATCTGGCACGGAGAAAAGCAGAAATTCGAGCAGAAGTTCAGCCATATGCCAAATGCCACCCTGGAAGGGGAAGAGCATTTCCACACAGTTCCAGATTTACAGCCAGGGCCAGACAGTGGGGCGGCTGCTCTGACTCAAGAATTTCTTTCGGATAAATCAGCAAAACATTAACAATAGGTTTTTAGGTGGAATTCAAAGCCCTCTTCACAATATCTAAAACTTTCTCAAAACAAGCGAGGCATAGTAAAATCTTACATAGGATTCTTGTACTCTGTCACCTGATTTCAGATCCCACAAAGGTAAAAGTTCTGTGTGTGGGGGTGCCTATATTAGGACAGGACTATAATCAGGGGAGGAGCATACTAGCAGAGGGGGACAAAGGTAGGGGCCCTGGTTGAGTCTCCATTTGCTGTGCTTTTAGAAGGAAGTAAGGCCTGCCAACCTCCAACACCGATCCTTGGTTTTGAAGGGTATTCTAAACTTTTGTTTTAAACCTTGCCATTTATATCCTACTGGATTTACATTTGCTGGGCCTTTCCTCACTGCTAGCTCTAAGACAGAGTTTTGCAATGCACTGAGGAGTAGAAGAAAAGCCATTCTAAATCTAAAAATCTGCCACGGGCAGGTAACTCTACTGAATTATGTTAGTGGCATTTCCTTAACTTTCATCAGAATGGGCAAGAAAAACGTTTCCATGGATCCCCTCCCTAATCCTGCAACGGCGATGCTGCTGAAGGAGCAGCCCTTTGCTAAAGAGCCCCCCGTAGGAGACTTATTTTAAGATTAAGAACTCAGAAAAGCTCTACTTCCCCAAAGGAATGAGAAGGAAGAAAGGGGTCCAAAACTCCCTTTTCATTTTGGCTCCTACAAAGTTCACAGCCAAACTGAACTTCAGAGATAGCCACAGTGGCCCTCGTGGAAGCTCTATCTGTGGACGTTCTTCTGTACACACGATCCCGATTTTGTTCACCTATTTATATGTCCCTGGTCCTTGTTCTCTATCGCTGTGGATTTTCTGTCACTGTTTGGCTAAATGGGAACTTTTCTAAGCAGCCTCAGAATCTTTGCGGAAGAAGTTAGAGCGTCCCACAGCGTGGGACACCCGCGCGGGGAGAACCGGGAGCTGCACTTCAGCCGGGCAGACGCCCGGGGCCAGGCCCGCTCCGCCACTCACTCTTCACTGGAAGCACATTCTGCGGGGACGGTGGGGGCACGGGGGCTGCTGGCTCCTGGTTCTCCAGGAGCTTCTTGCTCAGGATGTCGCTGAAGAAGATCCGGATGAGGGGCACCCCCCACAGAAACTGCAGCTGTCTGGTGATCAAGTGCATCGACTCGTTGAGGCTAGGAGAGAGCAGAGGAGACCAGGCTGTCAGCTCCCACCTAACGCAAGGCCAGGGACAGCCGCCCAGCGCCTAATGGACCCTTCCCTTGGAGGTGCAGCCAGGGCCTGCCTCTCAACGTGGCAAAGAAGATTAAAAAAAAAGCGGAACCAACAAATTATCACCAGGGTCTGGTATACTGAAGGCACAGACCCTTTATCTTGTCTGCCAGCAGCATTTCTGCTCACCCAGGTCCCCAGGTGTAGTGCCCCCTTCCATGACGGTTTTCTCAGAGACACCAGCCATCACCAAGCTGACAAAGGCCACCTCGTGCCTGCCGCAATGGCTCTTCCTCACAGCTGGCCTGCAGGTGTGGCCCCCACATCCAGATGGCTTGACAGCTCCCTCAGTGCTTCCTTGCCTCCGGGGCTCCTCTCTCCGTGGTGCCCCAGCACCACTCACGTTCTGGAAATCTGCCGTCGTGCCCTTCCTGCTCAAGACCCTGCACTGGAACCCGCGCCCATCTTCACGGTGCTAACAGCCACCGCCACTGAGCAAGGCCAGGCCTCCTCCTAGGCCTCTGCATGCATCGTCTCGTTCGGTCCTTCAAGGCAGCTCCGCCAGAGGACTACAAAATCATCCCCACGCTTCAGACAAGGAAAGCGAGGGGAGGGGAGGTGTCCAAAGTCCCTTGAAGAGGAGGCAGTGGGGCTGGGGCTGGGCCCGGGCTGTCCACTAGGGTGCGTTCTGCTTCCCCTGCCTCCCAGCCACCCCATCCTCTTCAGCCTGGGCGTCATGCTGGGCGGCTCATCCTCTGGCAATGAGTCTTTTAATTGGGGAGGACCCAAAGATGTCACTCAGATACAAATAAAAACAGAACAAGTTCAGGGATTTCCTTCCCTGGATTTCAGTTTCCTGCCTCGAGGGCACCTACCAGGCAGATATCTGAACCAGAAAACAGCTGGGCATCACAGCTGTGAGCTCTAGACGTGGTCTAGAAGCCACGTCATCCAGCCTTGAGTGCACATTTCCAATCTTCAACGCTGCCTTGCTTGAACTCTGTTCTTCCAGTCTAGTTTTTTATTTTTTTATTATTATTTTTTTTTGAGACAGAGTCTCACTTTGTTGCCTGGGCTAAAGTGCCGTGGCATAGGCCTAGCTCACAGCAACCTCAAACTCCTGGGCTCAAGCGATCCTCCTGCCTCAGCCTCCCAAGTAGCTGAGACCACAGGCATGCACCACCATGCCCAGCTAATTTTTTCTATATATTTTTAGTTGGCCAATTAATTTTCTATTTTTTTTTTTTTTTTTTTTTGAGACAGTGTCTCACTTTGTTGCCTAGGCTAGAGTGAGTGCCGTGGCGTCAGCCTAGCTCACAGCAACCTCAAACTCCTGGGCTCAAGCGATCCTTCTGCCTCAGCCTCCCAAGTAGCTGGGACTACAGGCATGTACCACCATGCCCGGCTATTTTTTCTATATATTAGTTGGCCAATTAATTCTTTCTATTTATAGTAGAGACGGGGTCTCACTCTTGCTCAGGCTGGTTTCGAACTCCTGACCTCGAGCAATCCGCCCGCCTCGGCCTCCCAGAGAGCTAGGATTACAGGCGTGAGCCACCGCGCCCGGCCTAATTTTCTATTTTTAGTAGAGACGGGGGTCTTGCTCTTGCTCAGGCTGGTCTCGAGGTCCTGAACTTGAGCAATCCTCTCGCCTTGGCCTCCCAGAATGCTAGGATTTCAGGCATGAGCCACTGCGCCCAGCCATGTTTTTGATTCTTAATTAAAATTTTTTTTCTTTTTCTTTTTTTTTTTGAGACAGAGTCTCACTTTGTTGCCCAGGTTAGAGTGAGTGCTGTGGCATCAGCCTAGCTCACAACAACCTCAATCTTCTGGGCTCAAGCGATCCTACTGCCTCAGCATCCCTAGTAGCTGGGACTACAAGCATGCGCCACCATGCCCGGCTAATTTTTTGTATATATTTTTAGTTGGTCAATTAATTTCTTTCTATTTTTAGTAGAGACGGTATCTCGCTCAGGCTGGTTTCAAACTCCTGACCTCAAGCAATCCGCTCACCTCGGCCTCCCAGAGTGCTAGGATTACAGGTGTGAGCCACCGCGCCCGGCCTTAATTAAAATTTTCTTAATTTACATTCTACCTCTTGAAAAGGATCTGGGGTGACTTCTACTCCCTTTGACTCGTTTGTCTTGTTTTGGCATCTCTGAACAAGGAAAAGTCTAGTCAATCAATAAAAGTGATGGCAAAGAAGAAAAAATACCAATGGACAAGGCTCACAATATAATGAAAAAAAAAAACCCCAAAATAATATGATTTCAATTTTGTAAAAAATAATTGATATTTTATATACAAAAAGACTAAAAGGATGTTTCCTCAGCTGATCTTTGGGTAGGAGGATTATGGGTTGGCTTTTATTCTCTTTGGGCCTATATTTTATACAATGAACACATTACTTTTGCGATAAGAAACAAAACAGCAGAAACCCGAAGAAAGAAAGAAGGAAGAAGGGGGAGACAGTGAGGAGAGAGGCAGGAGGAGGCAGGAAAGATAGTGACCTGCCCCAGGACTCACCCATAATCCACAGATTGGGAGAACCAGCCGAGGACAGGGTGCCAGTGGGTCAGGTTGGACTTCTTCTGGGACACATACTTTTGACAGTAGCACAGCATCTGGGTGAGCAAACTCACAAACCCATCCATCTCCTCCTCCAACACTCTGGGGCTGAGGGAGCCCAAGTGTAGGAGGTTGCCTATGAGGACAGAAGGCCAAGTGTGAGGGGCCCAGACAGACACGCTTTAGCACCTCCCAGCCCTGCTCTCTGCCTGGAGCTCAGGCGGCCACGTCGTACACGTGGGAGAAATTCCACGTGCACCTTTGGGGCCGGAAGCCGCCATGGGGTGCAGGGTAAGAAACAGGCTGACCTGACTTCAAATCCTGGTTCTGCCACAGGCAAGCTGCACCACGGCCCTCCACCCACCTCTCAAATTTATTTCTTCATCTATAAGATTAGAACACTGTTCCCCACTCTAATGTGAGGATTATATGAATCAACATGTAAAATGTCAGGCACACAGAAGTATATGATATTTAGTATTACAGCTCAATATTATGTTGATATTTAAAAATCAAGGGTTGGCCAGGTGTGGTGGCTCACACCTGTAATCAATTCTAGCACTCTGGGAAGCTAAGGCGGGAGGATCACTTGAGGTCAGGAGTTCAAGACCAGTGTCAGCAAGAGAGAGACCCCGTGTCTCTATTAATAATAGAAAAAAAGTTAGCCAGACGTGGTGGCGCATGCCTATACTCCCAGCTACTCGGGATGCTGAGGCAGGAGGATGGCTTGAGCCCCGGGGTTTAAGGTTGCTGTGAGCTAGGCTGACACTATGGCACTCTAGCCTGGGCAACAGAGCAAAACTCTGTCTCAAAAAAAAAAAAAATCAAGAGTCAATATTAAGAAATGACCTTTTGAAGAATATATGAATGTCCTGGGAAATCACTGTTATTCAATGTTCACCAAAGTTATTTAATATCCTGTGTGTGAAGACTCTTACCATAAACTCTTAAAATTTAGCCCCAAGAAGATTTTTCTATCTAAAATAAATTTCTTCCTGTGAGGCAATGAGAATTATGTGCCTCCACTGTTTCCAAGTGCTTGTGTCTGCAAACCCTTTCTTTATCTATAATTAAAACACTATACAACGGCGAAGCAGGCGCTACTCTGCTCTAAGCCCCACCCAACTACTCCCTCCCTCTCCCTTGAGAAAAGAATTATCCAGGCAACTCACCACACTTTCATTTTTTTCCTACGCTGCCAGGAAGCTAAGGGCTGAAATCCAACGTTCATTTATAGTCACTTAACTAGCTTGCCAGCCTGGTATATTTTCAATGTGGTTTTTAATTTACATGTCTATTTTATTCTTTGGATCCTTTTTTTTTTTTTTTAATGTAAGCACTTCCAGTTGTAACTAAAAACAACTCACGATCTCTAGAAGAGTGAAAAGCAAAACACTCGAGCTTTCCCTGATGGCCAGGACACAATCACATTGCAGCCACTGACACTCACCCATCAGACAAAGTGTGTGGCATCCTTCTAAACTTTCACATATGTCACGGCAGCGATCCTGGTCTCTTAAAAATACGATGAATTTACGAAGCATATCGTGAGATTCTAAAATAGTGAGGCGCTGCAAACAATTACAGACTGTTAGAGCAGAAACTGATGGGAAGAGTTTCCTGCTACAGTGTCACTTGGTCACTTGCAGATGACGCCCTACTGATGCAGAACATGGTACCAATCCCCAAGAGGAAAACAGACAAAGAGGAGAACCTGCTTCTTTGGGCTACTAACTTGTTCAGAAGAAAAATCAGGAGAAGGAGTGGGAAACAGAAAACATTTTACATTCTAATTTCTATAAAAGAAAAGCACAAACAGAACTGGTGGTTTGGGGGTAACTCACAGAGCCCACTTACCTCGGGGGTCACTGTGCTGAGATGAGTCACAAGGGCAGGAACAGACATGACGTGGAGGAGGAACGGCCGGAGCAGATTGTCTGAAAATTGTGCAGCAATCACAGGGCTAGACACAGATAGAGGAGCTTATTCAGACAGGTCTTCGTGTGCACCCGGAACAAAACAACGACCCTAACAGTACTCTCAAATCCTATATATTTCTATATATTTTTAGTTGGCCAATTAATTTTCTATTTTTAGTAGAGATGGGGTCTTGCTCTTGCTCAGGCTGGTCTCGAGCTCCTGACCTTGAGCAATCCTCAACTTATGCTTCACAAGACTTCTGGGAAAACTAAAGGCTGAAAATGGGGACACATCATAGGGAAACAGTTAAGTCAATGACATTCTAGTCACAGGATGCAAGACTGTGCATCTATGAAAAATCAGTTTTGAAGTTTTATTGACATGAGAAAATGTTCATGCTTTAATACATTTTTTTTAAAAAAGCAGGATAAAAAACTAGATGCCTGGGAGAGGAGGAAGGGGCTTTTGATGGGGAGAGAGGAAAAAGAGGGGTTTCTGGAGTATTGGTATGATTGATTTCTCGATTGGGTGGTGCTTACCCAGGTATGTTTGCTCTGTGGTAACTCACCAATCACTCATACATTAACCAAGCAGTCTATGTAAAAATGTATATAATATGATACTAACATTTAAAAATATATACATGAACACAAATATGTATACTTTTTTTTTTTTTTGAGACAGGGTTATCCAGACTGGAGTACAGTAGCACAATCATAGCTCACTGCAGCCTCGAACTCCTGGGCTCGAGTAATACTCCTGCCTTAGGCTCCTGATCAGCTAGGACTACAGGCACACACCGCCACGCCCAGGTAATTTTAAAAAACTTTTTGTAGAGACAAGTGTCTCACTATGTTGTCCATGGGTGGTCTCAAACTCCTGGTCTCCCAAAGTGCTGAGATTACAAGAATGAGCCACTGCACCCAGCTGTATAAATTTTTAAAAAGACTAAGAAGACATTAAAAAATGTTAACAATATATCACTGAGACACATCTGTACACCACTGTAAAATGGTGCAGGTGCTTTGAAAAATAGTTTGGTAATTACTCAACATATCTCTGATAAATTTTCTTCTTCCTTATATTTTTCTGTTTTACCTAGGCTTTCTATAATAAGCATGCATTACTTCCATAATCAGGAAAAGATAAATATTAAAATAAGAAAATGAGGCCAGGTGCAGTGGCTCACGCCTGTAATCCTAGCACTCTGGGAGGCCGAGGCGGGAGGATCGCTCAAGGTCAGGAGTTCGAAACCAACCTGAGCAAGAGCAAGAGTGAGACCTCGTCTCTACTAAAAATAGAAAGAAATTAATTGGACAACTAAAAGTATATATAAAAAATTAGCCGGGCAGGGTGGCGCATGCCTGTAGTCCCAGCTACTGACGTGAGGCAGAAGGATGCTTGTAAGCCCAGGACTTTGAGGTTGCTATGAGCTAGGCTAACACCACGGCACTCTAGCCAGGGCAACAGAGTGAGACTCTGACTCAAAAAAAAAAAAAAAAATAAGATAATGACCTCTATCTCACACCATACACAAAAATGAACTCAAAAGGGATCACCACAGACCTAAATGCTAGCTTTCTTTCTTTTTTTTTTTGAGACAGAGTCTTACTCTGTTGCCCAGGCTGGAGTGAGTGCTGTGGCGTTAGCCTAGCTCACAGCAACCTCAAATTCCTGGGCTTGAGCAATCCTGCTGCCTCAGCCTCCCAGTAGCTGGGACTACAGGCATGCACCACCATGCCACAGCTATTATGTGTTAATATAATATATATATATATATATTAGTTGGCCAATTAATTTCTTTCTATTTATAGTAGAGACAGGGTCTCACTCAGGCTGGTCTCGAATTCCTGATCTGGAGCAATCCGCCCGCCTTGGCCTCCCAGAATGCTAGGATTATAGGCGTGAGCCATTGCGCCCGGCCCTAAATGCTAGCTTTCTAACTAAAACCACAAAATTCTCAGAAGAAAACACAACAAATATTTGTGACCTTAAGTCAGGCAATGATTTTTTAGATATTACACTAAAAGCACAAGCGACAAAAAGAAAAATAGATAAATTGTAGTTCATCAAAATTAAAAACTTTTGTGATTCAAAAGACACCATCAAGAAAGTGAAAAGACAACTCACAGAATGGGAGGAAATATTTGCAAATCATATATCCGATGAGGGACTTGTATCCAGAACATAAAAAGAACTCATACAGCTCAATAATCAAACACAAAAAACAGGCAAAGGATCTAAATAGACATTTCTCCAGCAAAGATATACAAATGGTTAATAAACACATGAAAATATGGTCAACATTATTTGCCACCAGAGAATTACAAATCAAAAATGACAGCAAGATACCCCCTCACACCCACTAAAATGGCTATAATCAAAAAGACTTAACAAGTGTTGGCAAGGATACAGACAAATTGGAAATACATTACTGGTGGGAATATACAATGGTGCAGGCACTTTGGGAAATAGTTTGTCAATTCTTCAAAAAGTTAGTGTTACCACATGACCCAGCAATTCTATTCCTAGGAATATACTCAAGAGAAATGAAAACATGTTCATGCCAAAACTTGTACATAAATGATCATAGCAGCATATTAATAATAAAAAGTAGAAACAACTCAAATGTGTTATATCCACACTGACTATTATTTGGCCATAAAAAAGAATGAAGTCCTGATTCATGCTATAACATGCATGGACCATGAACATATTATGCAAAGTACAAAAAGCCAGTATTAAAAAACCCACATATTACATAATTCCATTTATGTGAAATGTCCAGAAAAGGAAAATCCAAAGGGATAGAAAGTAGATTAGTTATTGCCAGGGGTTTTGGGGAGAGGGGAAAGTAGAGTGAATGCTAATAGGTACAAAGTTTCTTTTTAGGGTGATGAAAATGTTCTGGAATTAGATAGTGGTGATGGCTGCACAACTCTGAATACACTAAACACCACTGAACCATACACATTAAATGACTGAAACATATAGATGTTAATTATACTTCAATAAAGATGTTATTTAAAAAAAAATCAGAAGTCACGTGGAGGAAAAAATCATGAGAACAACTTAAGGGGGGAAAATGATTTCTTCCAGCTAATGTGCTCCAATACCAATGAGCAGCTGTGGTACTGGGCTATCAGAATTCATATTCTAAACGTTCACTTCTAAGAGTACCATTTTGGTACAAGAACATTTTATAAGGCTGAAATGCTCAAAATATCAGTGTTAACAACTGTGGCTAGTGGTTATTCGAAAGCACAGTCTAGACCAGGGGCCCAAATTTGGTCCACTGCCTATTTTTGTAAATAAAATTTTACTGGAATACGGCCATGCTCACTTATTTATGTGCGGTCTATGATTGCTTTCAGGGCACAATGGCAGAGCAGCTGTGAGAGAGGCTGTATGGGCCACAAAGCTGAAAATGTTTATTATCGGGACCTTTACAGAAAAAGTCTACCAAACCATGCTCTAGACCATTAGCTTCTGAACAGGTGTTCCATGGAAAATGGTTTTGTGGACTATTAAGAGACATGTTCCACCATCCAAAAACAAGGCAGGAGTATTCCATTCTCAGATATGTTTAGACCAACACTGGGTTAAACAGACCCAGGGGTCTTGCTACCATTGCAGGACTTCTCAGAGCCTTCAGCCCTAAAGTGTGTAGTGGATTAGCAGAAGCAGGCAGAGCAGGCAGCTTTTACCAAGCTGGTTTGACCCTGACACCCTCCCTTCTAGGAGCTCTCACTAACATCTCCCCAGGTTAGTGTTCCCCTCAACACTTTAAGAATGTTCTGGACCCATTAACAAGCACAGTTTTTAATATCTGGCAGTTCTCAGAAGTACAGGTACAATTTCTATAAGGAAATATTTAGCTTCTTATGTACTTTATTTCTCCAAACTGACTAAGTGAAGGCAAATGTCACATCCTCTGGAAGCCTCCAAATTCTAACATTTTACACTTGTGCTTATAACACTATTCCCTTAATCCTTTTATCCTGCCCTTTGCTGGGCCTCATCCAGCTCTTAAGTGTCCTTTATTTTACCAATTAAAACCTCTAAAGGAAAAATGATTGCATCTTGGCCACTGGCAGAATGAAAGTAATTCCTTTTAAATAGTGTCATTCCACAGACCACACTGTAAAAATATTCAAGGTTATAGACTGAGGACTAAGAAGTTGGAGCAGTCACAAATGCATCACTTTTGCTAAGAACAATACTTCCCGTAAATTCTGACAAAGTGGGCAAGTCCATACCCAATGCCAGTAAAAGAGAAAAGAAAACCAAGAGTAGGAAGCACTCCGAAACATGCCAACGCCTCAGCTGTGGTTTCTTACCGCAATGCCAGAGAAAATGCTGCCGTTAAAGTGCCTTTGGACAGACAAGGACGAGGTCTCGCCAGGCCACGGGTCAACAACACCTGAAAAGGACATTTTAACTGGTCAGGGGACGACACCAACTTTGTATTCATTTGTACATGAGAAAGGAGAAAAAAAGTAAAATGAGTGCTTCAGGTAAAAAATTGCATTGGAATGTTTTTAAAAAAGGAAGGGGCAAAAAGTATTGGGTATGGAGGTTCATTCTACCATTCTCTCCCTATTGTAAATATTATGTTAAAAATTTAAAATAATAAAGTTATTAATGAAAAAAATTAACAGCTAATAAAAAGAACTTAAAATTTCAAGCTACCATATTATTTCAGAAGCAGGCCAGTGATAGTGCTGGGAGAAACTATTGATAATACCACCTTTTGCCACCACACCATCTCACAGGGTTGTGGTGAGGGGACAATGAATCCCAATCAGGAAGTAGCCCCTCACAATGCCAGGTAGAAAGAAGGGCTAAATCAAGATCACTTCTCAGTCTCCTTCCCTCTGGGGCTTGACCCATTCCTTCTCTGGAATGTGCCATGCTTTAATAAACTTTGGCACTTTGCTTGCAAAAAAAAAAGATTATTTCTGGAACTCAAGAATTCCGTAGTCACATATCACTGAATAGCAGTATGTTCTGAGAAATGGTAATTTTTGTCATTGTGCAAACATCATGGAGTGTCCTACACAAACCTTGATGGTATAGCCTACCACACACCTAGGCTACATGGTATGACCTATTGCTAAGCTAAAAACCTATACAGCATATTACTGTACTGAATACTGTATGCAATTATAACTCAATGGAAAGCATTTGTGTACCTAAACATATCTAAACAGACAAAAGGTACAGTAAAAATATGGTATGATAATCTTAAGGGATCACCATTGCACATGTGGTCTGTCATTGACTGAAATATCGTTATGTGGCACGACTGCACTTTTAAATAGCAATTAGGCTTCTAACAATTCCCTGGAGGTATAAAGTGGCCACAATAAGGTGTAGAATGGACAGAGGCTGTTTTAGGACACAGAGCTAGGACACTAGCCAAGAAGGAACCTGAGGGAACAAGCCCTGAGGCCTCCTTCCCCAGTTTAAATTTCAAGAGACTGGATTACCCTTACAGTAAAAAATATAGAGCATTAAAGGGATCCCAGTGTCATTGTCCTCCTTTATCTGACCCATAAGTGACCCCAGCCACGGGGAGGGGGGAGAACACACGGAGACCAAACGCTTCCTGGGAAAAGTGTTTCAGGGAGCAGGTCACCAGATATGCCGAAACCAAATGCAAAAATCCAAGTTCAAGTGTTGGAGAATGGGGAGGTCACATGTTAGGGGACGGGGTCACAGACCTGCATCACAGAGTAAAATCCACGCTGGTTGAGATGTCCCATGATGTTTGCACAAATGTGGTTCATGGCTGGTCGAAGACTCTCACCTAAATGAAGAAAAGAATTTGAGGAAAAAATTTCTTGCCATCATGTGACCTGTTCATGTGGGACAGAAAAATGACACTTCACGCCCAAGGCAGCAGGAAATGAGATACTCCCTGGCTTGACTTCCTTTTCCCTTAGGTCTAGAACCATAGTGCCAGGAGGTTCGGCATATCTGGAATTCTGTCTCTCCTGGAAGGCCTGGCTTGGGTGTTGCCTCTTGGGTGATGGGTCCTCCTGTCCCCCGGGCCTCCAGCTCCTGCAGCACCTTTCTAACTCCCTCCTAGGGCTCCTTGTGGTTGTCTCCTCTCCCCACTGGGACATGGGCTTCCTGGCAGAGCCTGGAACTCAACAACTTCCAGAGTCCAGGATAATAAAAATAAACCTTTCTCGCTGACCCGGAGGCCTTGGCACATGCAGTTTCCTCTGCTTTCAGTTTTATCCTTCCTCTTTGCTCTGTGAACTCCAACTCTCCCTGTAGTTCGTAGCTCAGACATCGCTTCTTCAGGAAAGCCTGAGCCCTGGGGCTAGCAAAGCCTCCCCGCCCACTGAACGCATCATTTCTCTCATATTCTTCCTTCTGAGCACTGACCACACTAACATCATTTTATATTAATATAGACACACGAGCGACTTCTATTTAATGTTTGCTTCCCCAGCAGACTCTAAGTTCTGTGAGGAAGGGAGTGTCTAGAGTCCCTGGAGGGCAGTGACCTTTCTGTTTCGCTCCTCACTGTATCTCGGGTGCTGAGCACAGTGCCTGGCACACACAGTCGCTATTGGTTGAACGTATGAATGAAATGACGCTATGAAATACATAAGGCTAAGGATGCTTTTCAGGGAAGGAGGCAGCTTTATGGAGCAAATGTTATGGGCAAAAATGAATTATTTGCTACCTAATGATTTTTTCCAAATGAAATGACATGGCCTAAGTGAATGTTATCACTTAGAGGCTGAGGCACTCTTTTACAAACAATAGAAAACAGAACCATGCCTTCAAATGTAGGTTCAAAGGGGAAAGTCTGACACACGATATTGACTGTATTCGGGACGCTACGATGCAGTCCGATGGCATATGCCAAAAGCATCTTCATCTGTCCAGTCGCAGGGCCTTCCCTGAGGTTTGTGGAGGCAAAAATGCTTTTTATGAAGAAGAAAAGGTGGCTAGGTGCTGTGGCTCACGCCTGTAATCCTAGCTCTCTGGGAGGCTGATGTGGGAGGATCGCTTGAGCTCAGGAGGTCAAGACCAGCTTGAGCAAGAGACGCTGTCTCTACTAAAAATAATTATCCAGGCATGGTGGCGCATGCCTGTAGTCCCAGCTACTTGGGAGGCTGAGGCAGGAGGATGGATTGCTTGAGCCCAGGAGTTTGAGGTTGCAGTGAGCAACGATGACACCACTGCATTCTAGCCTGGGCAACAAGAGCGCCATCTCAAAAAAAAAAAAAAAAAAAAAAAAAAAGAATGAAGGTTTCCCCAAGCTCTCTACAGAAATACCAGTTAGGAAAGATTTTGAGACAAGTCCCACAGACCTTTCCCCCGGAGAATTTTCCATGTTGAAGTGTCTGTGAAGGTGACAAGCATCGTGAGGCACAGCGTGATGAGTCGAGAGTCTTGTAGGATTTCAGGCTGGAAACAGTAGGAGAGTTTATTAACACAGTTGTCCTCTGAGTCCAGATAGTGAAGTATCCACTTTCCAACTACTCCTAAGTACACTCAGACTGGAATAAATGAGTCAGGAATATGATTCTGCATACTTTTTTTCCTCGGGGAATGATCACTTTATGAGTTACATGACAAGAATTTTGGCACATTAGTGCTTGACCATGGAATCAAATATCCCTGGGAATGGAGAATTCTTGTAAAACAAGATGACCAGGCTGGCACACCATATGTACATATGTCTGTGTATCTGAACTCTGCAGCAAACAGAGCAGAAATACAACTGAGCATAACAGGGACTGTGGGCTCAGACTTCCGGCTTCACCACTACTAGCTGTTGTGATCTTGGGCAAGTTTCTTAACCTCTGTGCCTTGGTTTCCTCATCTGCTGCCTAGCAGCAGTAACATTGCTTTCCTCAAAGGATTGTCATGAGGAACAGATTAATGCATACGAAGCACCAAGAACAGTACCTGGCACATAGATAACTCCACGTAATGTTGGCTTTTGTTGTAATTATGATAGTTCATTTTATAATTACGATTATTTTGCAAGAGTTAGTCAGGCAAAAGACCTGACTGCTTTCTAGGCTCATATCCTACAGCATGTGCCCCTGGAAGGAACCCTGGAGACCACAGATTTTAAAACCTTAAGCTCAGAGAACAAGAGAGGGGAAGTCATATGTTCAAGGCCACGTGGGAAATCAGCAGCAAAATTAGGACTACATTTCAGATTTTCCTTGCTCCAGATCCAGTCCTCTTTTCTCCTAATGTCTGTTTCTCCACATAAATTTTGTTTTTCAAAATAGAAGAATCTCTTCTCAAAAAGAAATCTGTTGTAGAACACAGATACAGAAAGCAGATAAGAGGATCAGTCTGGCTCCCGTTAAGGTAGGGGAATAACCTGTCCGCTTGACCCTAAAAGCACTTTGGTAGAATCCCAGGGCTCCAAGGCATAGGTGTAAGGACCACTGCTCTGAGCCATAACCCTCACCTGACAAGTCAGGTGTGGCCTGTCACTGGCTTGCTGCCTTGACTGGGTCGTGGCCAAGAGCCATTCATGAGAGCTCCCAGAGGAATGGCTGGGACCGGATTGCTGGGGGCTCTGGGGTCATGTGCTCTGTCACTCAGCTGCTCCCTCAGTCCTTGCCAAAAACCTGTCCCCCTATGTGCGAAGTGGAAGTGGCTGTTGTTTGTGTCTGCTCACACCTTTGTCCGTCTTCTCAGAACACAGGGTGGGCACAGGCCCAGGCTGGACAGTGTCGGTATCCCACCCTCTCGCCACCGTGACCGTTCAGAGATGAGCCCAGGATTCCATCGGGCCTTTAAGAACTCTCCTGGATTTTTTAATTAAAGTGGGGGAGATTTCCCTTTTCTCTTTTGTCCAGACAGAGTAAGAATGTGAGGTCAGAACTGTTGGCTGCCATGATTACAGCAGGGGAGGCCACGATGACCCCGAAAGGGACCAGACGTGATAGAAAAGAATGAGGAAGAATCGAGAAGCCCCGGCTCTAGTCATTGCCAGATGCCGAGTTACAGAACATATTCTACAGTAAAATGTTCTCATTCTTGGTTAGCCTGTATGTGGAACTAGCTGTGCTCATGCTGGGTTTGTGTTTGTGTAGCAGAGGCCTGACTAGTACCGACCGTAAAGTATTCATTACATCAAATACATGGGAAGGGAGATGACAACTTCTCTGGCATGGAGGCTGTGGCAAGTGCAGTCCATGTTCAACATGCTGCACACCAACGACGGGCTCATGCTGAAAATAGCATCAAACTTCCTCTCTCTTAGAACAGGGGCTCTTTACTAGACTCTGACTGATAGATCTCCAAAGGTATATAAGGGAATGACAGAGACTCTGAAAATATAGACTAAAGGCCCCAGATGAGAAAGACATACACACACACACACACACACACACACACACACGCTCGCTTTTTGTTATTTTTTACCTTGAGCTGCTCAAGAAACTCACAGCAATACCACAGAATGGCCTTGATCTGTTTGATCCACAGGAAGGTGAGATCCTTAGAAAGAGCCAGGGACACGTACCACACCTGCAGTGGGAAAAAGAAGAATGTCATGGGCAGGTACAGCATACTGCATATGCCCTAACTCCTGGAACTGGGCTGATTAGCCAGGTCCAGCACCAGATAAGGAAGTGGATGAACGGATGAATACACAGGAAACAAAGCTTAATACTAAATCCAAACAGCCTAGTAAGGGAATTTACTGTCTGTATAAGAGACAAGAGCAGAACACAGCCTTCTGGATCAGGAAACTAAGGAACCATCTGCACTGTATTAATGCTTTCCATCCATTACTAATTTGCATATGTGTGTAAATTAGTCCTAAGATGTAACAAGAACTTGCAGAGCCCAATAGGCTGGCTGTTAAGAGCTTGTGGGAGACCTTCCAGCTCCCATCCCACTCACCTTAGGTTCGTTCTCAGCATCCATGCTGCTCAGGATGCTACGGCACAACTTTTCCAATCTCTAGAAAAAGACAGAATGGGGGTTACAAATTCCAACAACTCATCTAACAGCAGGGAAGAGAAAGGAACAAACATTCTGTGGGCACCTGGCAAGTGCAGGGATTTTGCCAGTGATTCATACATGACCATATTAATTGCCGTCTTATAGGCGTGGAAACTGAAGATCAGAAAGGCAAAAGAAGGGTTCTCAAACTGGGGGCCCACATGCTGGATGAACCCTACAGATACATTTTAGAAATTGGCATATTTCACATAAAAATCCAGATTGGGGCTTCTTTTGAAAAACGAAATCAATCTGGCACACTGGGCTTGGATTGCTGCTGTCTAGCTGCAGTCTCCTAAACTGTGCTCCCCTGTTTGGCCATTTTGCAAGCTCCACGGATACTGACTTTTGCCTCACTGACATCAGCCAGACTGTTGTATCATCACTTTTATCCTGAAATGCAAAAGGAAGAAAAGTGGAAACTAGAAAACGGGTTTACGTTTTGGCTAGATCAGTCCTGGATCCACCCTTAAAAGCAGCATGATCCCTACCATACTGAGCCGCAGTTTCCTCCTCTGTATGATGATGGTCACTTTCTCCAAGCTGTCTGTCCTCAGCTGTAATCACCTGTTCACTGCCTGTACCCTCCCCTCTCCTGCTGGGCTGCGAGCTCCATAAGGATAGAGACCTTGCCCGTCTGGTTTCCTTTCAGGGCCCCAGACTGTGAGGCTTAGTGATAGCAAATGTATAATAGCTGGCAATATGGAGACATGCCTCAGTTGTATGGTTTGTACCATGACAGACAACTAGCTTCCTGGAATTGTATTTTCCAGGCTGATCATTCTAAACCCAAAGGTGCAAACTGGCATGTTTTGTTTGGTTTGCAAGATATAAAGCAAATTTCAAATGAGTTGCCAACTTTTACACATTAGAACATTGAGCATCAAGACCCAGATCTCCAGCATCTCTTTAAAAAAATAAAAAATTAATCAGAGTATGGGTCCACCACCAGCTGGGGCCAAGTAGCAGCTGCTTCCCCTTTAGATAGGGTGGCCCACAGACCCCGTCACTTCCCTTGATGTCACCACCACTGCTGTTTGTCAGTTACCGTTTACAATTCATATTTTGCATTTTATGTTTTGTCTCATATATGGCTTCTTTCACTCATTCACCTAACCTGCTGGCTCTTGTAGGCACCTGAGTCCTTTGTGACAGTCATACTTTGTGACAGTCAATGTGAAAAGATTCTCGGAAGCACTGGGCATCATCCCTCCTCAACAGGTCCCAAGAAAACAAAAGGGACAGATGTTGGGGTGACAGTACCTACATCATAGAATTGCTATAAGAACAAAATGAGTTAATATTTATAAAATACTTACAAAAAGACCTGGCATATGGATGTACTATGTATGTTATTGTTATTTTACCTCATTATCCTCTTTGATTTTGAATAAAAACAGCAGTTTCCTGGCGACCTTAAAAATACAAAGTGCACTTCTTTTACTGGACCCAGAATCGTCTGCTTTAAAAAACTCATCAATCTCTCTCCTAGGAAGGGAAAGATTAAAAAAAAAAAGGACAGTGTTAATTAAGAACCTGTAGCACCTAGAAGGCTTTTCAAGCACTCCAAGAGAAAATTTGTTTTCTATTAAGGGGGAGGCAGAGAAAAATGCACTGGGGAAATCCCGGCACCTACCTGATGTCTCTCTGCAGTCGCCTCCGACAAAGAAAACTCCGGACATGGGCCTGAATCTCGAGAGCTGCCCGCTCCCGCTCCTTCTGCACAAGCCTTTCTTCTCGTGCCTGCCGGGCTCTATCAATGAACCACGCTCTCGATGTCTGAGATACGGTGAACATGTTTGCAAACTTGCACAAACCCTGCAATGACAACGGGTGAGTAGCCCTTGCAGATCGTTGTATGGAAAACACACATAGAAAGGGGCTCGAGAGCAAAGGGTGGGCAGGGGCCTGGGCAGCAGCAGAAAGATACTAAGGGCCCTCCTGCACCCTCCAAGGTGCTAACAGCTCTCCTGGCACAAGTCTCAACTTCCTACTGGCTCCTTTCATGTAACTCACCAAGACCAGGGATGCTATATACTGTATTACATAATTACATCTTTTTAAAAAAATTAAAAATTTTTTTTTAGAGACAGGGTCTTGCCCTGTCACTCAGGCTAGAGTGCAGTGGCATGATCATAGTTCACTGCAGCCTCCTGCCTCAGTCTTCCAAGTAGCTGGGACTACAGGGGCATGCCACCATGTCCAGCTAATCTTTTTTAAAAAATTGTTTGTAGAGATGAATTCACACTATGTTACCCAAGCTGGTCTTGAACTTTGGGCCTTAAGTGATCCTCCCACCTCAATGTCCCAGAGTGCTAGGATTACAGGCATGAGTTACTATGCCCAGGCTAAGTATGTCCTCTTATGAGAAAGAGCACAGTGCCTGGCATAGGGTTAGGACTGGCTCCGCAGAGGTGTAACAAATGAACAAAGCATGACTCAAACCCACTGATAAAGCTCTAATTCAAATGTTCCCAAATATTTGAATTTTCTGGAGTAGTCCACGATATTTCAGAACTCAGCATCAAGCAGTTAACTTTTGTCGAATATGGACTTGTGGGAAAAATCAAATATGATTACTGTTACCATTATTTTTATTCATCTACTGAATAAATATTTACTGGTGCCTACTTTGTGCCCAGCACAAAAATAAGGGGGCCATTTAACCTTAACAAAGCAAAAGGTATATAATTCAAAATGCAAGACAGTCCATTAAATTGAATGTGTTTGGTTTTATGTATAACCTATTCTGTTGTCCTTACTATTTCCATTCTGCCAAGGACTGCTGAATACTTTATAGCAGCAGAACTACTCCTGTCCACTGAGAGACACTCTTCTGGAGTCAGGCTCTAAATTATACATCCCATTTTAATCTGAATCATCGGTTACTGTCTTTTCCCAAAGGGATGGCTTTGGCTAGCAGCCTACAGCACACACGCACTGATGGATGGAGCCTCTCACACTCAGATGATTTCTTTAGATGCTTGGTAACTTCAGCATTCTATGAAAAATGCACAATCAGCCCAGCTGTCAAAAACACTGAAATGAATTATTCAGAAATCCTGACTTCTGGTAAACAATCTCTTTACCAGGTTGAAACATCATCCTGAATAAAAAGTTTGTGCTAGGCTCCTGCCACATGAAGTTATCAAGGACCTCTGAAGCCCCTTCTCAACAATGATTCACACCCGTCAAATATCAGGGCTTTGCCAACATGTGAGTCTATCATCAGTAATTCTTGAAACAAATTAAAGGAGCCCACCTGACCACAGAAGGAGGGTAAACAGATTGGAGAAAAATCAGATGTAGTGACTCATGCCTGCAATCCCAGCAACTAGGGAAGGCTGAGGCCAGGAGTTCAAGAACAGCCTGGGCAACATAGCAAGACCCCCATCTCTAAAAAAAATAAGAAAAAAATCAGGTGGGCATGGTGGTGCATGTTTGTAGTCCCAGCTACTTGGGAGGCTAAAGTGGGAGGATTGCTCAAGCTTAGGAGCTGGAGGCTTCAGTGAGCTATGATTGTGCCACTGTACTCCAACCAGGATGACCAAGCAAGACCTCCCATCTCTAAAAAAAAAAAAAAAAAATTGGAGAGTAAAAGGTAGTGGTCTTCTGAACCATTCACTCTTCTGACCCCAGCAGTGGAAGTCTGGAGAGCTCACCTGAGAACCTGCCTGTGTTGCACAAATGCCAGGTAACCATTAGTGATCTTGTGCAGGACTCACAGCTGAAGATGGCTTCTCACTTTCGAGTAGCTTGTTTCTGGCAGAAGCAGAAGAAAAAATTCCAGATTGAGTGTTAAGTTTCATAGGTGTGGCATCATATATCTTCCTCACTGAGTAAAAGTCATAAATAAAATGCCATTTTTTAAAAATGCCACTTGTATCCTCTTTTGTTAGTGTCTGGTCTAAATGTTAGACTATATCTCCTCAGTCCTCACAATTTAAAAGGTATAGGTTGAAAACAATCCCAAAGAAGTTGTTTGAATTAAAGCTGTGTTGGTAAGCAAAAATAAAACTTAGAGGTGATGGAATGTTAAAAAGCCACTGAAAATTACATTTGACATTTTTAATGATAAGGATAAATGTTTATGCCTTAGAAGTGAAAAAAGGGGCTGCCTATGAACCAGTATGATCCCAACTACCTAAAGGAAAAGAAAAATGCATGTGCACAAATAGATACAAAACTGGGATGAAATATACCAACATGTTAAGAGTGGTTGTTTTGAGATAGTGTAAATTGTGGGACATTTTTCTTAACTGGTCTCTATTTTCTAAATTTTCCCCAGAAAGCACATGATGAAGCAGCACAGCACAGTGAGAGGTACACGGGCTTTGGAGTCAGAGTGGAAGCCAGTCCCTAGCTCTGCCACATACTGCAGGGAGAGAGTCTCTGTCTGTCTTTATCTGTTAATCAGCTTAGAGGCTGTTCATGAGGACTAAGTAAGATAATGAGATCAAGTACATATGCGGGTGCTGACAGCACACAGCCAGTAAGTCTAACCGATGTATTATTTTTATAGACCCAAGAATTTTTTTAAAAAGACGAATCAGCAGAGGCTCCCATCTGTACAGGTACTGAGGTTCTTCAAGTAGGAAATAATGCTGGTACCCTGACATTACTCATTAAATTTCAGTCACTCATTAAATTTTTTCCTATCCTGGAGTGCACTGAGATCCGTAAGTTCTCTCTGTTAAGCTGTAGAATCCCTGGCCCTGTTTTGACTGGGCAATAGCTTCAAGCTCCTGAGAGCTGCAAAACAGCAGGGCCCAAGCCATGCACACAATGATATGTTCTCTCCATAACAGGTAGACACTCCCTCATTGTCAGGGGCCACACAGGGATCAGGAAAAGATGGAAAAATAAAGCTACATGCGACCTGTGCCCAAGTACCTGAAACACTATCTCAAAACTTGCACTTCTCCCAGGGGGCCTACCAGGATAAGATCCTTATCTTTACGATTATCATCCTCTCAGCAATGGTATTTGTTGGTTTCTGTTTATAGCATAGAATAGCCTCTGCTCGGCAGTTTTTCTCATTCTTTCCTACATATCTCCTCCACCTGCATAGTGTGTACTACAGTTCAAATAAAACACATAAGCAAGTATTTACTAAGTACTCATTCTGCTAAATGCCATGAAGAATCAAAGGAAAGGCTGTGGGTAGCAGAAAAACCCTTGGATCAGAGAAAGCCCTTGGGTTCTTTCTAGTCCTGAATCCACGTGTCATTTAGCCAAGCTACTTATCCTCTCTAGGCCTCAGTTTCCTTACCCATAAATTGACAATAGTAATAGTACCTACATTCTAGGGTTGCTAAAAGGATGAAATGAAACATTTACCCTTCTTGTACTTCAATTTAGTCATCACAACATTGTGATTAAGATTATGGGAAAATATTGACAAGGGATATCTGAAAGCTTATAGCATGAGAGTGAGCTTTACACTGTATTGTCCTTCAAGAAGTGTATAATCCAATAGGGGAACAAGAATTATAGATAGAAAGGTAAGAAAACAAGAGGTTGGCGATAACCAAGATCATCTGAAAAGGAAAATAAGTTGAGTACCCACTATGTGTCACATGCTAAGTGATCTCATTTAATGACAGAAACCCTACGAGACCACTTATTATCTCCTCTAGTCCAATTTAGACCATTAGTAAGTGGCAGAGCCAAGATTTTTAATACTAATGGACAGGATTTAGACTTCTCTTCAGCCCTATGTTCCCAGGAGACCTGCTCAAAATCAGTCTTTCCTGGATGAGGCCAATGTCAAAGAGAATTACAAAAGCACACAACAGTACAGAGAGTATTGTCCAAAGGTAAAGCGACATAAATACCAACTGCTGACTGAACCCAAGAGGACTCCCCTCCTACAGTGGGAAGAGGTGGGCCGCCAGGTTTAATGACCACAACCATTAAGGGCAGAGCATGTGTTAGATACTGTACAGATAACTAACTCCATGTTTTCAGCAGCTCTGTCAAGTCTCAGTAATCTATGTTTTATCTAAAGAATAGGCAACAGGACTTAGAGAGACTGTAATTATAGCTATCATTTATTGAAAGCTACAGCCTATCTAGGTGGGTGCTATTATCCCACCTTCACATGGGGAAAATGAAAGGTAGACACAAGACTAGTTGGAGGTCACTGGCCTCCTGAATTTGAACCCACGTCGAACTCCAAAGCAATTATTTATTGGTAATTAAAAAAGACAAGATCCAGGGCTTCCCCCATCCACAGAACGGCAAAGCAAAGAGGAGCTGTTCATGGGGCTAAGCTGGAGTCAAACTACAACCAAATTTTTCTTTATTCCGGGCTGAGTGTCAGGCAGGGTACTTAAACGTAGTATACAACACCCTCTGTGAAACCAGCTAATTACTCCATTTTACAGAGGAGGAAACTTAGGCTCAGAGAGGTGAGGGAACTCACCCAAGGTCACACAGCGAGCGAATAGGATTAGAACTCCAGTTTGGGTGACTCCCGAGGCCCGGCGTCTCTCCTCGGCATCAACAACCACAATAACAAATCCTTTGCGCCCAGCATTAGTCCGTTTGTAAAGGCTTATCGCCCCAAGGGTGAGAAGAAGTGGAAAGGGCCACGGAGAGACACCCTGGAGCACGAAAACCAGCCCCCAGCACCTGCCCCTCCGACCTGTCCAGAAGGGACTCGGCCCCAGAGCCACCTCCCTCAAAGTCCCCGGCCCCACCACCCGGAGAACAGATGACCCTGTCCCCACTCGCTACCGCAGGCCGTAGACCTTTATCCGCTCGAGGCCCCGGTACTCGGAGTCGGGGCCGCAGCTGGAGCCGTCTTAGCCCAAAACCCCCGAGCAGACCCGGGGCAGCGGCTGAAGCCAGACCGCCATCTTGCCCCGGGGTGTTCACTCTCAGAACTCCGCTTGGAAGCAAGCATCTAGTTCTGGGAAACGACAGTTCCGTAAAGTTTCTTCGCCCGGGAAGGAAAATTTCCCTGCACCATGTTCTCCCTCTGGCGGCTAAAAAAGCGAGGAAAAATAAATGCCTGATTCATCCGAGAGCAGCTGGAAACCATCCTGGCCAGGGAGGTTGGAAGGAGAGCAGCTGATATCTACGGGCACAGCGGACGCTTTAAAGAAGGGCCCTCTGCGGGGCGGAAGTGGGGTGAGGCAGAGGAAGTTCCCGCCCCGGCTCCGCCTCCGCCCCCGGCTCGCGTGAGCTGGGTGTTTCCTGCCTCTCACAGTCCGGGTTTGGAGACTCCGGCGTCCTCCGACTTTTCATGGTGAGGAGGGCGGTGCCCACCGGCGGGGGACTCTGGGCGGCCGAGGGAGCTGGGCAGCAGCAGAGTATCAGGGGAAGGGACCGAACGGAGGGGGTGGGTTGAGGGGCAGTCGCGATAGTGGAGAGGCAATTGGGGGATTGGATGGGGGCAAGGCCGGGGATGGGGGAAGGGCTTTGGGTGGAGAACTGGGGGGGGGGGTCTTTGACAGTTGGGAATCCGGGAAAGGGCATTTGGGCTTGGGGAGAAGATTTGAGTGTGGGTGAGTGGGAGGTCCCTGAGTTTTGGGTGCTTATTGGAGATCGGAGTTGGTGATTATGAGGAGAACAAAGAGATGTCATTGAAAATGGACATTTGGGCTGAAAAATGAGGATTTGGAGGATTGCGAAGGAGAATGGGTAGGTTGTGAAAAGGTGAAGTGGGATTCCCTGGGGCGGAGCGTTTGGGGTTTTGAAAGTTGTGGATGTGGTGGCTGTATTTCGTGGGAGTGGGGAAGGGGCTCCCAGGTGCGTCTGGACACAACGCGGAAGGGAGGAAAGAAATAGAGGGAGCTAACAGGAGGATTTGCGTTCCGTGCTTGGAATTCCGGGGAGGGATGCCAGCGGGCTGAGGTCAGGTACCTTAGCTCCTAGGTACATATCTAGTCACTTCCGCCAAGGCCCGAGGTGGCCAACTCTAAGGAGCGATGATGTCTCACATGCTGTCAGCTGTGGGAAGGTTTCTGTGCGCTTGGGATCCTCAATGGTCTGTTGGTTGAAAAGCTCTTTGTTCCTGGGTGGGGATGACCAAAGATCATCCCAGATCTTCTTTCTTCTTATTTGCTTGTTTGTCACTTCCCGGGAAAGTTCCGTCTTTAGGGAAGGTCAGTCCCAACAATACTGAAGAAAATGAGTCAACCTGTATCTGACTGGTCTGCTCCATTTTGTGCAAAATAAGGACCACCTGAAGGGTAGAAGGTGGTATAAACCAGTGGTTCTCAAACCGTGGCCCCAGAGCATTAGTGTCACCTGGGAACTTAATAAAAATAATCAAGCTGGGAGCAGTGCACCTATAGTCCCAGTTACTTGAGAGGCTGAGGCTGGAGGATGACTTGAGCCCAGGAGTTTCAGGCCAGCCTGGGCAACATAGTGAAACAGACCCCATCTCTTTAGGAAAAACAAAAATTGTAAAAGATCCTATTTTCAAGCTGTACCGTAGACTATAGTATCATACAGTCAGGGGGTGGGACCTCCATCTGTAGGGGTTTAGACTAATGATTTCTTGATTTGGTCTATGTAATGGATATGAGAGTTGGACTCAGGGCCTTAGAGTGGGAAAGGGGCTTAATTTTTAGGGGAGAAAATTCTTAATTTTCTCCCCTAAAAAGTGAAAGTGATGATAAATATCTTCTTATTAGATTGTTGAGAGAAATAGGCCAATAGTTTGTGAGCTGAACACAAGAAGAGAATGTCATTTGTTGAGACACTCGGAATTAGCAGTAGCTGTCTTAAAAACAAATTTTGGATGCAAAATAATGCTATAATTTATATGGCTGGTGTGATTTAGTTTGGTTGAAATGAAACAGACTTTTTTGAGTTGTAGAAATGTCCTCAGTTTGGGGAAAAACCCTAGTCTCACTGCAGTGTTTTTAAAAACTTCTCTGCTGTAGGAAGCCCCTGAGCTGATGTTTTTGCCAGTAATTCTTAGATCAGCCAGGTTAAACAAACACTGAGGTCAGTGGCATTGAGCCCTGAATCACCTGAAGAGCTTTTTGAATACTAGTGACTTACCAGCCACCCTTTCCTGTCTCCAAGATTTTGATTAACTGGTCTGGGGTATAGCCCAGATAGTCATGAGTGTTTTTTCTTAAGCACACCCCAGTGATTCCAGTAGCCAGGACTGGGAGCCCCTGGTCTTAAAGCTTGAGGGACAGATGGGGAAACTACACAAAGGAACAAGTGCCAATTCCCTGAGGGTTATTTTGAAGATTATGGCTTTAATACTCCATTTTACAAGTTAGGAAACCGGGACTTGGGTTAAATTGCTTGAACATCTTGCAGGAAGTGGTGGAACTGGATTGTAGTCCTGGTTTGCCAGACTCTCAGTCTAGTTTTCCTTACACACTTGTGCACACACACACAAATGAGACAATTTTATAAAGAAGTGTATGGAAAATGTAGGGTCAGAGATTTGGTGCCCTGTACTTGTCTGGGTCTCCTTTCAAGTCAAAAATTTTCCCCCTCAACTGATGTTTTCAAATATGCATACAGTTGCTTCCTGTCTGTGGCTCTGAAGCTGTGAAGTGGGGGCTTGCTTTTTCTCATAGTGCTTTCGTTTGTTTTTCTGTATAGGTCAGTCAGGAATTCACTGGGCCAAAACCACGGAGTTAATTAAGCCTAATTAAGGGGTATAATACTTTTAGGAGAGTGTGGTGTTATCTTGGCTGACATTAAAATCACCTGGGGGAGTTATAAACTTCTCTTGCATCAGCCACACCCCAGATCAATTACATCAGAATTTTCACAGGTAAGACCCAAGCATCAGTACTTTTAAGCTTCCCAGGCGACAAGAATGTGCTCTCAAGTGTCCAGCCAGTATCTATCTATCCATTTATTTATTTTTTAGAGACAGGATCTTGCTTTATTGCCCAGGCTGGGGTGTGGTGGCACAGTCACTGCAGCTTTAAACTCCTGGGCTCAAGTGATCCTCCTGTATCAGCTGGGACTATAGGCATGCACCATCATGCCTAGCTGATTGTTCTTACTGATTTTTTATGTAGAGACGGAGGGTCTTAGTATTTTATCTAGGCTGGTCTCGAACTCTTGGCCTCAAGCTATTCTCCTGCCTTTCAAAGTGCTAGGATTACAGGCATAAGCTACCATCCCTGGCCTCGAGCCACTGGTTATTTAATAAAATCAGCAACAGTATATTCAGGGGAGATGGGAAGGAGGGAAGCCTAGACTTACACATCTAACTGGAATAAACTTCTGGTTGAATAAAATCTGTAACCAGTATCTCAAGTATGAATTATCTCTCTACCTCCCCAACTTCATTAACAATGAAATCAAACCTTTGAAACAAATCAAAAAGCAGGATCTCAGTAGAGACAGCTGGGAGAGGTTTATTGTCATCTGCTTTGTGCCCTCAGTGCACTGTGCCTTGGGCTCAGGGATGTGAACACAGCCAAAACTTTTTCTCCAAGGGCCTCTGCTGGTATTGGGTTGACTGACGTTTGGGCTCCGGAAAGATTGAGACCTTTTTTTTTGCCTAATCTGCAGTCTCATGCTAGATCAGTATGGTTGTTTCTGCCTTTGTCTCTTAGTAATTCAGTCTGTCATTAGAGCTGGAATAGTTTCCAAAGAGGAGGAGATAATTTGAGACTTTGAGAGCATTCTCAAATTATCATTATTTGAATGTTTCCTCTGAGCCAGGGGCTGGGACAGAGTACCACGCCGGAGGCAGGGGTGTTGTCCCCGTTGGTGGATGGGACTAGGTTCAGATATCTTGCCTAACACTCACAGCTACTAAGTGGCAGGGCTAGGGACTTAAACCTAGATCTGATTCCTACACCCTTACCCACACATTACCTGCTTTCTTTTTTCAGGGCTTTTTGTACTTTTTAAAGGAGAGAGATGGGACTGTCCTTTCTCAACTTAGTATGTCATAGCCCTAAATATACCACTCATGATGGGTTCCAGGCCAGCCAGGACTTGCCCATGTCATTCAGTTGCTCCCTTACTGACTCACCTCCTGGCTTTCAGAAATGACCGACCCTCTCTGGGGCGTGGTATTTGAATCCACAAAATGAAATTGCCTTGCAACATTGTTTAGATTTTAAAAAGTAATGTGGTGGTAGAAATTCGGCTTCAAAGGGTCAGGGAGGGTCTTCTGGAGCCATGAAATGGTTTCTGCCTTGCTTGGAGGTGGGCTGCCCGGGTGCATGGATTAACCAAAACTCATCAACCTGTATACTTAACATGTACTTATTATGTGCAGATTACCTTTAAAAAGTACTAGAAAGCCATAAAAAGTACAGTCATGCCACACAGTGATGTTTCAGTCAACGATGGACCACATATACTGTGGTGGTCTCATGAGATTATAATAACTAAAATTCCTGTCACCTGGTTGCGACATCGTGATGTAGCAACACATTACATATGTGTTTGTGCTGATGATGGTGGTGTAAGCAAACCTGTGCTGCCTGTCATATAAAAGTATATAGTACATATAATATGTGCAGTGTATAATACTTGATAGTGAAAATAAATGACTGCTACTGGTTTGTGTATTTCTATACTATATTTTATCATTATTTTAGAGTATATTCCTTGTACTTATTTTTTTAAAAAGTTAACTGTCAAACAGCCTCAGGCAGGTCTTCCAGGAGGTATTCCAGAAGCAGGCATTGTCACCATAAGAGATAACAGGTCCATGCATGTTTTTGCCCCTGAAGACCTTCCAGTGGGACAAGGTGTGGCGCTGGAAAACAGGGATACTGATCATCCTGACGCTGTACAGGCTGAGGCTAGTGTGTGTGTCTCTTAGTTTTTAACAAAAAAAAAATTTAAAAATAGGAAAAAGCTTATAGAATAAAGATATAAAAGAAGATATTTTTGAACAGCTGCAAAAATGTGTG